ACATGTATGTCAAGGTAGGTGCCTATCTAAGTCTATGTACTTGTTAGTAACGAGCGTACGTGCTCGAGCGGATCCCATCGTACCCAAATAATCGTTGCTCGCCGTACGTGTGCGGTGCGACCCTTCCCCAAATCTTAATCTAATATTCTCTGACATTACAATTCGTATTCACCTTTAAAAAAAATGTGATGGCACAATAAAATTAATTATGAAATGCATTTTCGTCTTATCTAACGGAAAACACGATACTAATATTCGACTAAACCACGTTGAAATAGCATTGTAAACATATACATATATAAATTAAATTGTAAATTATATGCAAGTTTCTTTCAATATTACCATAATTTGAATAACAATACTAAAAGTCTAGGACAAATTGAAAAAATACAATACATATACAAGAAACACAGCTTTTATATATAATGTACAAAACAGATTCCTGATCCATCATAATATTCCATTCTACAAACACATCGTTTTACAAGCACATACAGTTGAACACGCACGATATGTCTTGTCCATGTAGCTAGTTGCACAGAAGATTTCGGAGCTCGATTAATGTCTTTAATCGAAATACTCTAAAAATCGAGTGTCCATACATCGCTATCATTAGCATGCTCTATTCCACTCCCCTGCATTAAAATACATAACTTACAGAAGGACATGTGACGAAACAAAAACACGGGACGAAAAAGAAACACAATATATAGACAGTGTATCGACTTACAAGAATACTTACCAAACAGTATTACTGAGGCTAACCTACTGCAATGAAAAATCTACATCTTATGATTATACTACTCATAAGTAATTTGCAAACAAACTTTATCTTCGGAATTGTTCGGATTGGTACAAAGCACTACGACGCGCTATATTAGATGGGTATTGTTATGCTTTCTAAAATATATTGCAGCATAATTATTATATGATACTACTCAATACAATGTGCGTCAATGTCTTAATCACTTAATACCAAATAAATTATTAACATAAAAAGATTTATTCAAGATCTTACATCCACTTGCAGTAAACAAGATAATAATGTCAATCAACAAAAAAAATCATAACATAATAAATATAACATTTAATTTTATATCAAAAATAAAAGGTTTATAAATTTTAATTAATCGATCGCCTTCCATATGACATTTAATAACAACTTTATCTCATTCAAATCGACCATAGCATAAAATGCAAAAGCGATCCGATTGAAGATTAATTTATACGACTCGAACGTGCCCTTGAAATTCTTTTAAAGTAAATGAAAATAAACTTTTGAATTATTATATTACAAAACTTGCTTAAAAGTAATGACTGAATTTCACTTTTTAATACCAAATTAATGATATTATTATCAGATAATTGAAGAATTCTATACATAATTTATTTCTAATAATACAAAGCTGATGCTTACATTAAATGGCTACCAAGTTTCCTGTAAATAATATTTTTTAACAAAATTATCGATATCAATAGGAATATTGTCATGATAGCAGCGTAACATTCCAATAGATTCTGAATTCCAGTACAACTATACAAACGGCACGTCAGACTATACAAAACTGATTTTCCCCACTCGCTTTTAAACCTTAATATATTGAGGGTAGAGGTCGAAATCCATTGGAGAAATTTGGAATATTGTGGTAAACGTGCAGTCGTGTGTACATGGATTAATGAACAGCACAAATGTCTTGGAAGTTAATGTTTTAATAATAAAAAAGAACTAAGCAGTTTATCAATAAAATGTTTATTACTAAAATTTGATGTCGGTACTCTTTAAAAAAAATATGATCTTATTTTATTATTTTTAGTGATATTTATATCCATTAAAGAAATTATATTTACAACGAAAGGCCTGAATTTTTTATTTATTTGCACGAAGAAATTAGTGAACATACCTACTTGCATAAAAAAACTAATAAATGTACAAAGAGTATATTTACATAAATATATAAACAGTATAATCTATGTATAAAAAGGATATCATTCATAATATTCGTTTTGAACACAGGAATCTTTTGTTTTTTCGCATATATAAAAATGACATCAACATATTTAGGTGCTATCTGAGGAAAGGCACATTTTGTTTTGTTATAAAAAGAGAACCACTGATTAAATTTCGATAAAATTTAAATGGGACCACGTCGGCCTTTTGCGCTGTCGAATAAAAAAATTTGAAAATCGATTGTTAATTGGCGGAGTAATCGCGTAATAAATACACAAAAAGGACAGACAATAGAATTGAGAACCTCCTCTCTTTTTTGAAGTCTTTTTAAAATACACTCTTTGGGAATTCAATTCTTAAAAACGATGTTGTTCAAATGTTTACCCTCGCGGTTTTGGCTCTCATTCAATCTATAAAAATTTACTAAATTACGTGCACCGGCAGTTAATTCAGTTATGTGAAGATGTAAGACAACTTTTGTTGTCTGAACTGCAGAATAGGGATGATGACTGGGTAAAAAAATGCAATTCTTTTCAAAAGTCAGATAATAGAAAAATATTAGATACGTTTTTTTTTACTTCAATTTAACAGAGAAATAGCTTAGATAACAGGCATTAAAGTTGAGGAGTGGGGGCTCGCTACGTCACAGTTAAGTAGAAAACGTACCCTAACGTGACGTCATGCGAAATTTTAACTCCATGTGACGCCGTAATTTTATGGTTACGAAAAAAATAAAAAAATACGTATTAAATATTTTTTAACACTACCTACAAACAAACAAAAATGAGTCATCATCCCTATTTTACAGGTTTAATCGATGGACCTAATTCCAGCGGGTTGGAGCGACGTCACACACGTCACAATATATCTCTGCCACGCGTTCGTGAGATTTAAAGCCGCCATCAAAAAGTTTAGCGTTAAATTAAATGAGTGCCGCGAACGCGAGGGTAAACTTTCGAACAACATTTTTTTTTTAAGTCCCAGAGAGTGTATTTTAGAAATAAACAAACATTTTATTGATAAATTGTTTAGTTCTTTTGATATTGATTATTTTTTTTTAATAATCTTTCCAGACCAATTCAATCCTAACAAACAAATCTTTCTTCTTTATAATATTAGTTACCCCATATTACTTAGGGGTATATTACTTTTTGATTTTAAACAGTAGCAGCGATCACTGAAACGCAAATCTTTAAGTGATCCGTATCTATATATTTTCTATACTAATATTATAAAGAGGAAAGATTTGTTTGTTCGCATTAAATATCTAGGCTCCGCCATTTGTGGGCAGATTTTAAAAATTCTTTCACCTACGGGAAGCTACATCATACTCGGGTAACATAGGCTAGTTAATTAACTTTTAATTAACGCGGGAGAATATGCGAGAAAAAAATATTGTGTAATTTATATATTTAAAATATTAGATAATATAACACTGCTCAGATCGTTCCAAGATTAGTAGCTAAAGCGTTCGGTTCGGTGAAATAACTTGAAGGTAGCACGACACCCAAGCAAAAGACAATAAAGAAAAGTCATAGACTCGATCGGGAATAGAACCCGGGGCCTCAGAGATGGCGATACTTTGAAAACGCCTACGAGTTAAATTCACAAACGATTACACAAATTGGTTGTATTGTAAATGTGCTGCTCTGTGTACATCTCACATAACGGTAATAATACATACTAATTGATTACATTTGATGTTGATACTTAAAACTATCATTAATTACTATAAATATCAGTCCAGCATTCAGCATCATATGAATAAATGACTTTATTTATTTAGTAAAATGTATGAATTTATAATATACTTACTCTATTTAAGAAATATAATGGTCGATTAAATAAAAAAGTAATTAACCTGCACTTCCAGTAAATAAATGTCTTATGTAAAGACATTTTAATTTTTACCAAAGTCGAAAAAATTTAAATGTTTTTACATAAGACATTCAACATCAATACGAATCCGATTAGAACTTCATCGTTTTAGTGCTACTGACACTTGCATATTATATTCGAGCCCTTATAGCATGAATGCCGTATATCACTTGATAAAATAAGATGAAACACGTAACGCTGTCTCATGCCGCTGAAATGTATGCGGAATAATAACACTTTATCGCGTATCAAGTGTCGGTAAGCATGCTCATGGCATAGTTAGGCCATGCAGGTGGTATTTATGATACACAAGTAATTTTTTTATTTCTTCGTGAGACTGATGAACTTAGCTTTCCATATACAGGGTTATTTGAAAAAACCAGCAACCTCACAAGACTAAACTAAATAGCTAGCCATAAACCAAACTAAACCATAAGTTGATACTTTGATTAAAAAATATTTTACTATCATGATTCATGTAAACTGACAGGTTTATGATAAATTCAACAAAAGGACGGCTTCGTTCGCTTGCTCACGTAATCTTGGTGTTGCGCGTAGAGTTAGCATTCGAGATTTATTGAATTAAAATTTTTATTTTTTTGTATAAAAGTGTTGGTGACCTGCTACGCAAACCTTTTAAGCAATGCACATTACAAAATTTTCAGTTTTAAATTAATGCCATATATAACATAAGAAAAAAAAATGTAAATCTTTAGCCAGAATCAAAATATATGTATAATGTAATGAATTTTCAAAATTGATTAAAAAACTATTATTATTTATAATGTTAGCTATCCAGTGAGTTTGTTGGTGATTAAGAAATAGCCCGGTATATTTAATAAAGATATGAAACGCGCCAAGTGAACACCGTATAATTAGCTAACAGTAGAACATCTTGTAAAGCAGCAAATCTGTACTTAAAACATAGTAGCACTTGAAATAATCATATGGTTACTTCGGTACATATCAGTAAGTGAAAAATTGTTCTTTAATAAAGCTACAGCTACAATAATAAAGCTATTTTCAATATAACACTAAATACTCGAGTTTCATAAGATGTTCTTGTGAATATTGTTCAGCTTGTTCGATTTATTCTTAAATATAACTAGTATAATATAAAAATGCATTCATCTTTATGTACTAAACGCAAGCTTATGATCACTTGCTCTTGTTATCAGATTATCTCCCAATCACTCTCTATGTGATCGTCCGGTGATGCACTTCTAGGGTCTATTACACCGTTCGACCGCATTTCTAATTTCAATTCTATGTCACCTAAATTCCAGTTGTTGGGTAATTGCACGATTTTAGGAACTAAATCTGTCGTCTTAGCGTCTCGTTTCGTGTTTACTGTTGTTGATTTTTTAATTGGTTCTGGTACTTTGATCGGCTCGGGCTCTATAAGGGGAGTGATCTCAATCCGCTTGTATGCGGGTGTGATTTCAGAATACTTGGATACCTCGTTCTTGGGGGCGGCGATGCTCAAAGACTCGAGGTTCAACATTTTGGCTAGAATCTTCTCTTTCTCCTCGATTTGTTTCTCTAAAATGGCATCATTTTGAGGGTCATCTCTGAAAAAAAAATTTGTAGGTTTACAATTATAAGTTCTGGTAGCTGAAACTATGTACAGTCAGCACATCAGACTATACAGATTTGACATTTTCTTGATTTTAATCATTAGTAACTATTACATTGCAAAAATTGTGTTTCGAATATATTGTGAAAACTTGACGTACTGACTTACTGACGTACTGTTTGTACATAATGTTATTGGGTAAACTAGTAGTTATATGCATTAGGTACGATCACTGTTATATGCATTAGGTACTCTGGAACGGAATTTTCCGCACTAATATATAAAGAGCAAACATTTAATTATGCGTATGCTTGTTTGTCAGTTTCCATCGAAGATGCTCCGAAACTACTGGACTGATTACCAGCCGCGAATGACATAACCTATAATTTACGCGGACTACATCGAGTAACACACAGCTAGTACTTTACATAAATATTTCTAAGATAACTTAGAAATACCTACTGCGCAATATTCATTTATATCCTTTCTCATTATTAAATAAATGAATTATGCATTCGCAATGGTACTTATTCTGATTTTTATTTTAGGAAAATATTTACTGGATGGAAATTCACTGACTCGAACGTAATATGTACTTGGAAAAATCAATAACCACTCTCAGTCTACGGTAGCAAAGTCGATAGAACACTCGTCCGGTTGGCGAAAGGTAGCCGGTTCGGATCCAGCCTGTTACCTGAGTCAAAAAGGTTTGAGCTACATCTGTCAGCACCGTGTCACATATTACCGTTGCCGTCCTTCTTTAGCTTCTAAAACCGTCATATGTTGGAGAGAGAAAAACAGCACGCCACCATATCCTCGAGATTACAGCCAACACGCCGTTTTTCTCGTTCTAGCAAATGGCGGTTCCAATATGGCGACATAAAAAGGCGGTAACAGCAGCAGTGTGATACTAATTGTTTTATGAGTTGTTTTCAGAATACTTGGCAAGACATAGTAGTATATATTTGTGTACTCACCCATGTACACTGACGCTCATCAGACAAGGGCTGGTGTAGCTGACGCTGTGGTCGGGTCTCCGGGCGGGCGTGGCGACGCGCGGGGTGCTCGCCCCCGACCCCCCCTCCCTCCGTCTACTGCGTCTGCTGTGTATCAGTTCCTCGTCGCACTTCTTCTCCATTATACTGTTGTACAACCTCAACTTCCTTTGCAACTCCTCAGACTTAGCCCTCCTATACTCTTCGGCGTCCCCGGACACGTCCTTGAATTCATTTATGATCGATTCCAGCACGTTTTCCGATAAGTCGTCCGGAAGGTGTTTTATAGGCGGTAATTCGAAGCATTCTTCTGCGCTCGCGACTGTCGTGTCGAGGAGTTCGTTTTTAGTGAGTAACGCTAGAGGGTGCTCCAGTACGCTGCCCAAGTAGGGCATCGTCTGGTGTAGGTGCGTCAGCTCTCGGACGGTGCTGACTGCGTGTTGCAGCGACGAAGTCAGCGACTTGCTCATCATGTTTACCGGTTCATCTGTCGTGGAAAACATTTCATTTAACGTTACTTAAACTAACACAGCTATGGTTTGACTTTCTAAGGCCTACAATCGAGGATTATTTTCTTTTTTCTATATATTTTTTTAAATTACGAAGATAAATTGATTTGGTATAAATTAAATTTGAGTTCCCAGTTTTGTCCTCCAGAGTTCATAGAACTACTAAGAAATGGATAACGGAATACCACAGACTTTTTTGAACCTTTATTCATGATGTAAAACCCAATCTCCATTTGTGAAGTAAAATAAATCAAAGCGTCAAATTATGATATATACGAGGGTCAAACTGAAAGTTCTTAGAAAATCAAAAACTGATTACATTAGCCAGTTATTAGTTTTATTATATCTTTTCAAAATATTGTCCATTCACGTCAATACACCGCTGCATGCGATGGAACCACTGGGAAAAGCACTTTGCCCACTCGTCCTTAGGGGTCTCTTCAATGGCATCGCGATACGCAGCCACCGCTTCTTCAGCATTCATAAACCGCTTTCCTTTAAGTTTTTCTTTAATTTTTGGAAATAAATAAAAATCACAAGGCGCGAGGTCGGGGCTACACGGCGGGTGACCCAGTAATTCAACGTTTGATGTCGCCAAATAGTCGATCGTTCGCTTGGCGGTGTGCGACGAGGCGTTGTCGTGGTGAAGGAGGATCCTACTGCGAGGTCGTTTCTCTCGAACTTTTTCCAAGACAAGTGGCAAACAATTGATAGTGTACCATTCTGCAGAAACTGTTTTTTGATCCTCTAACACAATTGTTGCAAAATGACCTATCCTTCCAAAGAACGAGGCCACCATTTTTTTTCCCGCACTTCGATCTCTCTTCACTTTAGTTGGCAACTCCTCGAAAGGAAACACCCACTGAGCAGATTGTCTTTTGGTTTTAGGATCATAACAGTAAATCCAGCTTTCGTCACCTGTTAGTATGTCGAACACAGCATTTGAGTCACCTCCGTTAAATCTTTCAATCATTTTACGACACCAATCCACACGATGGAGTTTTTGAGCCTCAGTCAAATTATGAGGTATCCACCGGGCGCAAAGCTTCCTGACCGCTAAATGTTCGTGGAGGATTTTGTGCACTTGACTCATACCGATGCCTAAGCTTGTCCGAATCTGTTGATAGGTCACTCTTTTGTCAGTCTCTATCATACGCCGCACAACACAGATGTTATCTTCAGTCGTCGCCGTAGAAGGCCGTCCCTCACGTAAATCATCAGTGAGATTAGTGCGACCACGTTTAAACTCATTAAACCAGTTGTAAACAGTCGCACGAGATGGGGCTTCATCGTGAAAGGCCAATCGTAGTCTATCATAACTTTCTTGTTGACTTAAATGACATCGAAAGTCATAAAAAATCATTGCACGAAAATTTTCTCGTGTTAAATTCATGATGACGTGACACAGACAATTTTCAATTTGCCGCCAAATCGTAAAACAAATGACAAATGAATGAAATATATACTCAGTAATATTGGCAAAGAGTTATATTTTCAAATTTTAGAATTATTTTTTTATTATATTGTTTATAAGTGGCCAGTTCTAAGAACTTTCAGTTTGACCCTCGTACGTAATACTAATTGTCAATACAATTAATGTACTAATCATAATCAGTCATTGTCGTGAAAAAATCAAATTATAGAACAAGACGGCATCTCCTTTGATCTCTGTCTCACTTAAGGGTCATGTCTCCCATGTGTTCGTCAGGATAGCAGCCCTACCCCCTAGTATTTTGCAATTAATTCTAGATCCATCTACTCCCATACTAAACAATCGCAGCTCGTCAATCTTTTTTGTCTATTTTATCTTAATGGCGTTGCTGGGCTGTCGTCAGTCCGGCAGCACCCCAGCTATATAAAACACTGTATTTCGAAAAACTTTCCAACCCTGCGATTCTGTAAAAATCTAAATTCGATTTTACTCAGGTTTCCGAATTCACATCAAAGGCGGCATCAACTCAACCCTGAATTGGTAATAACGTTTCGTGGCATAAGTGAAGTGAGTTTCGAAATGACATAGAAATAGAATATCTGAGGCACGTATATTCAATCAATCTTGTTTTGTATTTTTGTACAATAATGGAAACAATAGAATTTCTAATCGACGTGAATTTGGACACATTAGTAAATTCGAATTCAGGTTTAGATTTTTAGAGAATCACAGGGCAGGTCCGAATACTATCAGTGTGTTTGCTATGATTTTCCCATCAGGAAAGTTTGCTATCTGCTGATAGAATTTGGCAGGCGTTACACGTTTAATTTTGATTAATAACTATTCTGATTTCTCTCTAATAAATTACGCAAGGGACCTTAGCAGCCACAAAGCAATTTAACGCTCAATATCCAAAGCCTTCTTGCTGCCAGCCTGAAGAACTCGAGTCCTATGAGATAACGAAAGCCATAACGCGACAGGGAACGTGTCCTACTCCTTTATTGCTTCTGCGGCAACAAGTATTTAGGTACAATCAGTATAACTACCGTTTTTAATGATTCTAAAGACTGGATAAGAACGTGATTTTACAAAAATACTTAATTTGCGTTACAAAAATACTTAACAAAATCGATAGTGTCGAATGTGGTACTTGGACACATAACCTTTCGTTTCTCAAGTATGTTGGAAAAGATAATATGAAGGTAATATTATATGTCCGTACACTATAAGGTATTAGGCCTAGATTTAATTATTGTGGCTATACTATTACGAAATTTGCTTTATATATATTCAGAGTAAACAAATAAGCAATGGACGCCATTGTGCAAAGAGTCAGCAAATATAAAATAAGATTGCAAAGAAAGATAATAGAATTTCTTCATTTGTAATGACATGCTCTTTGATGAAGATTATGTTAAGTCTGTCATGATTATAGAATTATGATCTATTATGTAATATAAGTAATAGTGTGTCTACCGCGTAATATCCTTGATATTAACCCCCCCCCCCTTTTTAACTAATCGTAACTCACGTAACTGTAACTCATACGTCAAGCGAAATCAATTATTGGCACACAATGTTATGGTGTAATTTGAATTTTACCGTTTAAGATCATTATTCCAAGTCAACAACTAAATGAAATTCAAATCACTGTGAAGTTCAAATATTACGCGGTAGACTCACAGAAGTTCTATTCTTGAACCACTCGTTTCGCTTCAAGCACTCGTTTACTTCTAATTTTCATTTATCATTTAATCTTTTTTCTCTCGACTCCGAAGATGATAAATATGAACGTTAAAACTGTATTTAAAGTATGGCCTTATATTTAGTTTTGCGCAACCTACCAATGTTTTATAGTATTAAGACATACGAAACTCCAGATATTTCTCTAAGCAAGTATTGGAGTAATAAAATTATTTGATTTGGCAATTAAAAATTGTTGCCATTTCATTAAATGATAGTTTACACATCGGGTTTTTCATTTTTTTCTGCGTGTAACAGATAAAGTATAATATCTAATTCACATTATGTTGGTAGTATTGAAACGAAGAATTCCGAAATTCAAAAAAGACACGATTTCAACCGAGTGGATTCAATAATAGACCTCCTGAGCCATTGCTCATATACATAAATATACTAGCACAACTAAAGCGAGGTGTACTACGGCACAGGTTCAAAATAAAAATGCAATATTATACTGCAATGGTATATTTATATATAAGTACAATGGCCATGCTAGCAACGTACAACGGTTACAAGGGACGACATCTCAAACGATACACTTTCACAACCCTCATGAATATTATAGAATATCTCAAACGCGATACTATAGTTAAGTGTTTCGTTTATTATATCGTTATAAGTACATAATCACGACAAAACATCTAACTGGGCAATTGTGCTAACAGCAATCATTAATGTTGTGTCAATGACGATTAGAATTGTCATCTGTAGTGTCCAATTTATATTTCTAATGACACCATCGGCACATCATTAATAAAATAAAAAAAAAATACATAAAAAATTAATAAAGAAAAGCAATCAACATTCCGTTTCTCTCACTACAATGGGTAACTAAAACACAATGGTACTACAAAATATTACGTGTCTTAATACTTAAAAAAAACTATCCAATAAAATATAGAAAATTTTGAGACAGTTATAATTTTCATTTTTAATCATTGTACTGCAATAATTAATAAATAAATAGATAATGATGACCACAAAAGCTTGGTACAGTTAAAGTCAACATGGCGTATTATGAATATTCCAAAACTAACCAACTCTGAGGATGCCAGAACCAAAGACTAAGATCAAAGGTATCAAATCAAAACCTTATTGGCAGGGGATCGTGCCAATGTCATAAAGGCGCTATTTGAATCATTCCCATTGGACGACATTTGCCGCGCTTCCAATTTTAGCTTTCTGCATAAGTACATTGATGAGCCATATCAGTTGAGTTGTTCTGTTCATAGGACCTATGACCGGATTTTGACAATTTGGAACTTTAAAATGTTGCATTATGGCAAAGCTTACTTATACCGTTACCAGCTGTGAGGTATCAAAATTTCAGTTCTTCTTAACTTTTAAAATGGCCAAAATCGGGTTGTAGTAATAATAAAATGGGCAAGATCACGTCATCTGCCCTCTACTTAGAATTTTTTTTACGATAACGGCCCCGGATGAGTTAAATTATTAAGTAGTTCTACAGTACATAGCTACATACATACGACACTTACCTTATATAAAAATATAACTACAGCAAACTTAACATGAAAAATCTTTCAAGAGCTAATCGATTTGTTTCGACCACAAATGTCTTTCCTTGATTTGTAAATCTTAATTCTATTTATGGACGTAGGTGGCGCTGTGCAAATATTAAATACAAAATTTGACAATAATGCCCGGCAAAAAATCGATTTGTTTCTGATACATTTTCGAACTAGATTGTATACTTACTAAAGTCGGATCGCGCTACAGAGAATTTCCTATAACTTATCTCTTTAACAGAATCACTTATCTCTTTCACTCACGCGCAAACATATTGCTGTCACGCTCGCGCTTATACGATCACCGCCATCTGGCGAATTTTTTACTCTAAAATAAATCTTAATTATTTTCATTGAAAAAGATAAAGTACCGAATCAGCGATCGGACATTAGCAAGTCGGTATCAGATTTAGTCATAAAATCTATTTCATTAAAGTGCAAATTACTACAAAACAAGCGAATGCACAAGGGCGTGAACACACTAGACAAGGAATTTCAACATTCTACTTCGTGACACGGAGAGAAACTCAGTAGTATTAAACAGTTAATTTTGATATGTACATTTATATAAATAAGTCAGCTATTAACAATGTTAATATTTCACTCAGTCTACAATAGCATATTTCTTCGTTGTCTAATGCAGGCCACAACCTAAAGCTAGAGACGGCGAAACAAATTCAGAATTATATATATATCTATTAGAATTGTACATGCATTATATGAATATAAAATAAAACTTAAAAGTTGAAAAGCAAGTTGACAAGCTACAGTTACAATTTCGTTATTTTTATAGGTGGAACGACCATAGAGGTATTAAAGATGCAGAAGGGAATACAAATGACCCTCGGTTAGAAAGAGAAAGAAGATCGCGGTATCCTTTCTGTCTCTCTCTTCAGGCATACGCACAGTAAATGGCCGCAATAAACAAACCTTAAAATAACATTAACACGCGCGATTAGATCGTCAGGCAAGTTGTCGCGTTCTTCTAATCGACAACCAGTTGATGGACTGGCTTTTTCTCGTATCAATAATACTTCTATGGGAACAACACGAATGCGTTAGTTTTGACTATTGAATAGATGGCACTGGCATTTTAGTCGGATTGTTACGTTCATGTTGATTCAATGAGAAAGTATTTAAAAAAATATATAGTTCACGAAATCAAACTAGATGTCGCTACAGTACTTTCTTGATTTCTCCATGAAAACCCTTCCGGTCTTCTTTTATGTGTAGAAGTAAATTAAACTCAATAAACAACTCATATTCTATTTCGAACTTTGCAAATTTCAGTTTTTTAATGTGTTAGCTAAAAGGAACGGAAATTACTAACTTTGGTCCGTTCGTTTCCTGCAAAAATCAACTTTTGGTAGAGTCGCCATCTAGTGAGTTTTTTATACTTTCTTTTTTTTTCTTAAAATACTTTCTTGTTAATTATTAACAGCTAATGAAACTACCGCCTTTGGTAAACAAGACACAACTTCAAATGAAAACTATAAAAGCTGTTGTACCATAATAGATGATACAATAATCATGCAGAAAACCACTATAGGGCTTACACATACGTCATTTAGATGAAATTCAAATTTCGATTCTTCATTTAACGAATTAAATAATGCGTTTTATTAAGTATCATCCTAGTATATCCAAAGGGGTCATCTAGTATTATAAACAAATCAAGCGGAAAACAATATTTTGTCAAAATACAATCTTATAAGCGACTTCTTTTTACGTTAAGTAAGTACAAATGTAAGAGTAACATAAAAATTAATTGTTAAGTAACAAAAATGACCAAAACAAAAAAGAAACAAAATGCTTACATAACAAGTACATTGGTCCTGATTTGGTATCAGTTTAATAGAAGCACTTACGTCTATATCTAATGTATAATAAACAAACCAATAACAATATAAAACTTATTAAGTAAATCATTAAAATAATCTCCCATTAATACCTTTTATGAACATTTTCGAATGTTAAATATTTACATAAGGTTTGAGCTACATCCAGATACTGCCTCACGGTATCGCTTTTACTGACGCTATTTACTTTTATAGTGGTTAGAACCGCTTTGCTAGAGCTGGAAAGATATTGTATATCTTACTCGCTCTAGCACGACTCTGCCAGATGTAGCTTAACACTCATACATTAAAATTAAAAAAAAAAAATGGACGTTTTCTCAGCACGACCGTTATTATTTTGCTAATTTATCATATAAATAAGAGTAAAGGCCACAATTCACAACAGGACTAATCTGGTAATGGATTTTTATAGCTAACATTTTTTTTAATTTATAATACCCTCCATATATTATCCAATGCAATATGGACTATACTGCACGGTAATTAAACTTTTAAAACACATTTCCAGTGAAATCTTGAAACGGAAATCGTTCAACAATTTGGAATGTTATATATTTTTGTATGTTTAGAAATAAATTAAATTAACATATAAAAAGTAAAAAATAATAGAAAATCCAATAAATTCAAGGTACCAAATTTATGACGAATCAATCAAATTAAGTAATGGCACAAATTTTTATGGCTTGACACTTTTAAACACTAACAAGTAATGTTACAGTTAATCACTACCATGAAGTATATAAACTATATTTATTATATTTAGTCCCTCGTTGTATTCACTTTATAGCCCAATGGGATCTTTAAATATTTTCTCAATATTGGTTTTAAATTAGACGTCACGTACGTCAAGTGAGTAGATGCCAATGTGACATATAGGATAATAATAAATTACGATTCAATCAATCATCCCACTGAAGCTCGGTCCCGATTTGTAGCAAAACATTTAGACTAAGTTGGTTCGATGTTATTTAATATTACTTAATTTATATTAATATTTTATTTAGATACATAATTTGAGATGAAAAAATTTAGGAATGCAATTTGACTATATGTTTTTATGGTTAATAAAAATCTAATCCCTTCATAGAAACTATATTTTTTTTTCGATTAATATTCAGTGATTTCGAAACTCCAAACAAATTATCTATCGAAACCTAGATAATACATATATAAATGCACATTCATAAATTCTTAAAAAATACATATACCCAAATTTTCATATATTAAAAAAAAAATAATTTTCAAAGTTGCATTATATATATCAAAAAGTGCATAAAAATTGTAATAATGTAATATATTGTTTGTATCGTAATACGTGCGATAATCAAATACTGTTAAGTCATAATAAAGACATCTCTGATACATAATTGGTCACTCTAAGAGATGTAAAACAACGTATTTTACGCGAGTACTTTACGTGATGTTCGTTTTAAATCAATTTATTAACGTAGTAAAATCGCTTTTAGCTTCATATACCTGTATCGGTGATATGAGTAGTTACAATGCAAAATTTATAAAATAAAATATAAGTAGTTATTATAAAACAAAATACACTCATTTATTAGTCACTCGTGTAATTGAATTTAATATTAAAAATTTAATTAAAATGGTTTTAAACGATTTTTTTTAATTGAATATATTTAACATCAGTTTTAATGTACATAATATGTAATCACTTATACAATTACTACCCACAAGTGTATCATAATAGCACCATTAGTTGCATATATCTCGAGTTGTCGAGTAGGACAACTTATGAGGTTATATGATTGTAATACTGTTTGAAGTTTTCTAATTTAACTAGTAATTAAGAAAAATGAATGTTACATAGCAACATTTAAGTGTCAAAGTTTCATTTGTTAACGTAGTAACGCTATTGTATAGGTAGTATCAATTAATGATACTTTGTCATCGGGGTCTATTGTTACAAGTACACTGGCATCGCGATAAGTCAATGATCATAGACAGTTTTCCTTAGTGTTCTGGTAACAAGTATCTACTAATTTATATCCATCGATAGGTTCCATATATGGAGTACGGGGGACATATGTACCAATGTAATTGAGTCATTAAAAGGTTGTCACACAAATATCATAATTATTAGAGATGCGCCGCATATTCGTTTGGTATTCGGTATTCCGCGTATTCAATATTGTATATTTTTCAATATTTGTATTCGGCCGAATTATTTAGTTCAAGTATTTCTAATTTCATAACTACACGATACACGGTGTATAAACCATAGTCAAATCTTATTAAGTCAAAGAAATTCTATGAAGAACGGTTCAATAGAGCTAATAAAAAAAAAAGCGCTCAATCATTAAAGCAAGATTTATTTTTAATTCGGTCGAACATTCGGTTCGGTAAAACAGTCACTGCAGACAATTATTCAATTTTTGGCCTCAACTCTTCAGTTGAGTCGTTATAATAATAAACCTTTAACTTCCGGGCAAATTGATTTCGGTATTCGGTGAAACCACAACTCGTCGCATCTCTAATAATCACATTAACATTAGGGGTAGACGATTGGTGTTATGGATAGGCGGTGTATATATATATATATATATATATATGTATGTATGGTGTGGTCAGGAGGTGTGTTTGTTGTACAACAGACCTGGCGGGGCGCGCGGGTCGGGCGCGGCCGCGAGGCGCACCAGCGAGCGCGGGCCCTCCAGCACGAAGATCTCGTCCTTGCTCACGGACAACGATACCACCCTGGGGATATTTTTATTTTATATATATATGCACATGAAATACATCTAACAAAATTATATAAGAAAAATAAACTGAAATCTAAAAATTTAATATTCAAAATTTTCCGCGTCAGCCATCTTTTGTCATGGCGTCGCTATGACGTCACTCTTCCTCATATCATATGACGAAGAGTACTCATATCAGGACTCAATTAAATAACTAAACCTTATGCAAACATAGAACGACATATATAAGTTTTAGAGGGGCGTGACTTCTAACGCGCTGTTTGCGGTCACGTAACAACAAGAATAACATATCTTATTCATAATTATTTAAGCAATAAAGGAAATGTCTAAAAGACCTCTACTCCTAACCCTAACCTTCGCATTGGACAATATGCTCGGCGATGGAAACTCATAAGTTTAGTCGGATAATACTCTCTAGGGCTAGTCTAAGCCTTAGAGAGTATTAGTAGATAATATTAAGGTATAAAGATTGGAAAAGAAGATATTTTCAATCCTTCTTTTATTTGAAGTAGATTAATACGCAGACGCAGACGGCGGTGTGGGCGCGCGGGTGTATATACAACACAGCCGCGAGGGGAGGGGAGGGGAGGGCAGGGTACCTGCGCAGCGTGTCGACCACGCAGACGGCGGTGTGGGCGCGCGGGTGTATATACAACACAGCCGCGAGGGGAGGGGAGGGGAGGGCAGGGTACCTGCGCAGCGTGTCGACCACGCAGACGGCGGTGTGGGCGCGCGGGTGTATATACAACACAGCCGCGAGGGGAGGGGAGGGGAGGGCAGGGTACCTGCGCAGCGTGTCGACCACGCAGACGGCGGTGTGGGCGCGCGGGTGTATATACAACACAGCCGCGAGGGGAGGGGAGGGGAGGGCAGGGTACCTGCGCAGCGTGTCGACCACGCAGACGGCGGTGTGGGCGCGCGGGTGTATATACAACACAGCCGCGAGGGGAGGGGAGGGCAGGGTACCTGCGCAGCGTGTCGACCACGCAGACGGCGGTGTGGGCGCGCGGGTGTATATACAACACAGCCGCGAGGGGAGGGGAGGGGAGGGCAGGGTACCTGCGCAGCGTGTCGACCACGCAGACGGCGGTGTGGGCGCGCGGGTGTATATACAACACAGCCGCGAGGGGAGGGGAGGGGAGGGCAGGGTACCTGCGCAGCGTGTCGACCACGCAGACGGCGGTGTGGGCGCGCGGGTGTATATACAACACAGCCGCGAGGGGAGGGGAGGGGAGGGCAGGGTACCTGCGCAGCGTGTCGACCACGCAGACGGCGGTGTGGGCGCGCGGGTGTATATACAACACAGCCGCGAGGGGAGGGGAGGGGAGGGAAGGGTACCTGCGCAGCGTGTCGACCACGCAGACGGCGGTGTGGGCGCGCGGGTGTATATACAACACAGCCGCGAGGGGAGGGGAGGGGAGGGAAGGGTACCTGCGCAGCGTGTCGACCACGCAGACGGCGGTGTGGGCGCGCGGGTGTATATACAACACAGCCGCGAGGGGAGGGGAGGGGAGGGCAGGGTACCTGCGCAGCGTGTCGACCACGCAGACGGCGGTGTGGGCGCGCGGGTCGAGCACGTAGAGCGCGCGCTGGTCGTGCGTGACGAGGAACTGGTCGCGGAACACCAGCACGCGGCTGAAGCTGCGCTCCGGCTCCGGCTCGTCCTCCTTCCCCCGCCCCCGCCCGCGCGTCGCGGGGTTCAGCAGCTCCGCCACCGTCAGCGGGTTGCTCACCGCCTCCTGATAATCACCAATAACACATTGATGAATTTATAATGAAAATAATTTGCACAGTATATATAAAGACTCCATATACTGGAAGAAGCAATGATAGATAACTATATGAAATAAATAAATATACGATGCTTAGGATAGTAACGAGAAAATTTAAAATAGATTTCTGTTCATCGACAAAAAGAACTTGGCAATTAAAGATTTGAAAGATTTGGACGCATCTAACATTCTCTGGTAAGGAACTCCACAAATGGATAGCTTATTTATTTGAATTATTTAAAAAGACAGCGATGAGTATTGTAAGTTTTGTAACATATTACATAGCTCAGTGGTTACAGCAGTCGCCCGGAATACGAAAGGTCGTTGGTTCTAGTCTCATCTCAGTCTCAGTTCACTTAATTATATGAACATGCAAGTAACTAATATAATAATTTAGGTGAGTTGTCCACAACTAACAAGATAAAAAATAAATAAAAATAATAAAATAAACTTCGACATTTGCTCTGAGAAATAAACGAGCATAGCAAAGTAGTTAAAATTTAAAAGAAAAACTTTTTCTTCTTTTTAGAGAATTAAAATAAAAGTATTTTTACTCTTAAAAGCAAAACTTAGGTTTTTATGTCAAGAGTTTTTAATATATGAAGTCGATAATTTTATTATTCTAAATATGTAATTTCCCATAAGCGCCCACCTTGAAGAGTAACGTCTGCAGCACGTTCCCCTGCCTGTCGGCGCGCCACAGCCTGAGGCCGGGGCGGGCGCAGTACACCTGCGCGGCGCCGCCGCACGCGTACGAGTACTGGAACACCGCGCCCAGCGGACACAGACTGTGCCCACATACATTACACATTATAGTGTCATCTATACATTACTCTGATTCCAAGTTAAATAGCTGATGCCTATGTATTATGAAGTATTTCAAAAAATACATACTCATAACAATGGACACCTACTGTGAGGAATTAATAATAAAATCGAAACAGGGACGGGAAACACCAACTTGTGAGCAAAGCCACTCACCCCCAAGTAGGTGGTCATCAAAGAATATACACCAAGTTATAGTAGAACCGCGTTTGTGTTGCAACCAATAAGTTAACACAGCAATACAATCGGATAGCTAATCCTTTAATTGAACTGCGTCACGATCTATGCATTAAAAGAACTGAAACGCGGACGGCTATAAAGGAGCATCGTATGACATCATATAAATTAGGCGTCAACGTCGTTGTCGCGAGTGCAAACAATTCATGTTTATTGAAATGTGACGCCACAGCCCGAAATGCCACGTGACCGATTGATTTCGCGGATCAATTTAAATTAATGAACAAAAAACACGTTGTTCCTTAAATAAAACATTTTTTGAAGAAAAATAAATCTAACAGTGGTTTAATATGAATGGGCATAGAAACTTTTAAACTAATTTCGCAACTGCTGTCGAGAATGACAACTTTTTTGTTACGTGTAGGTTTCGGATGACACTTACGTCTTCCTCTCCTTCTTGCCGATCTGGGTGACGTGCCAGCGCGAGTCTCGCCTCTCGCACACGATACTGCGGTACACGCTCGACACCAGCAGCGTGTTCTGGTGGTAACTCATCTGGACTATCTCGTGGTCCTCGTTCACTATCTCCATTGATTTGCACAGGTGCTGCACGGTAATTGAAAATAATTCTAATAAGCATCTACTATTTATACAATCAAGTAGTTCGATCTCGAAGTAGCGAGTTTAGTCTGTGTTTGCGCAAATCACGTAACGTTCTCTGAGGTCTTGCATATGCAGTTTAGCAACCAACAATCCACACCGGGTCCATATGATGGGTTTATAACGCGTTCTCCTCCCGTTTCCTTACACGGGTAAATTTTGTGCCCAATAGTTAGGACACCGATAAGCCGATTTAGAGATTTATAGAATGTCTTATGAAAACTTCAAAAATGTGTATTTTAACTTATAATATTACAATTTTTAGTTAATTACAGTAAATAGGTCAATTTTGGGAAACATTTGCCTGTATATGTTTTTAGACCCGTATCACAGATTACCAGGCCACTTACGATACACTATAGATACGCTCATACAACTCTATTTAAACGACATAAGATTGATATGTAAATGTCATCTGAACTTAGTATGTCTTCTTAAAATGCGTAGTTTTCACAAGATATACATATAACGTTATATTATGACGATTGAGTGTCGCAAATTAATGCATAATTAATGATGTTGTTCTATTTTTATTATAATTTTGTATACAACTATATGTAATTAAATAACATATCCGAAAACAGCATGACATTCAGTGGTTATCAGTAGTGAAACGGAAATAAACCATGGATACCGAGTCCTGTGCATGATAATAATGTCTTAAATAATATACTGGGTATAAGTACAATGTATGTTTAAATATGTATATTATAAGTATCGATAGATGTTACGCAAGATTCTAAAAAATAAAATTGTGATAAAATTGAACACATATACCCTACACCTTTTGTAAAAAAATTACATTTAGATAAACAATAAGGGTGCGATACGAATTTTTTTAATCGTTTTTCCTTAAGATTCTATGTAATATTCTATGAAATAGAGAAAAGGGTTGTCTATCAATTTTTGTCTTAGGTACATAAAGAGGGGACAGCGTCAAAAAATGGCATAAATTGTCTTACGTAATATAATGACGTCGCCTCACGGGAATTGGAAAAATACCTGTCTATGCCCTCACCATATAAAAGTCAATCTCCGTCATGATGATGACGCCGTTCTTATCACCGGAGAAGAGTTTCATACCGTTCTTCGACCATTCTATGGCGGTGATCATGGTTTTGTGAAGGTCTCCTATCGTATACCTGGAAAAAATGGACAATAAATTAATGAGATTGCTAACGATGAAGGGTACATGGGTACCCTTCATCACGGAGAAACTGACTTATAATTACTCCGTCATTGCGCATACAAAAGCGCCGAAATGTTGACTCGATAAATATAAAGTAACATAGTAGCAGTCCCGTAAATAATAAATATTCTAGCAAAAACATTTCAAGTAAAATGTTGCCAAGACGACGACACCATATAGCTCGCACTATCAATTTCTTGTAAGCTTCTCATTCTAAACTCTACATGCCTGTACTTTACAAACTCTATCAAAACATGTTGCTAGATCGTTTGCAAGAACTATTATTGCCCTTATAATAGAGGAGTAATGAGCAGTACAATAGTATACCTAACCTTACACTTATGTGACGGTAGCTTACCCACATCTTGCTGTATTTGTGATACGAGACGTATTTTAATTTTTAGATTATACAAAAAATTAAAGAAGTAGAGTGACCAAACAACGGAAAGCAATTATTTGATTAAGTTAAGTGTAAACGACCTGACGGGAATCGAACCCGGGACCATGAAGACAGCGACACCTTAATATCCGGCATATAACTCACTTCACTCGACAACAGAAGTCGTTAGATATTATGAATGAATATAATTTATTGCCCATTAATACATAAACATGAAAACAATTATTATTAGAAACATCGATGCAAAAGGCGGCCTTATTGCTAAGGTAGCAATCTCTACCAGGCTACTCTTGACTAAAAGAGGCTATACCGATTGAGTACAAAGACAACAGGCAAGTGTATTAAAGAAAGATAAATGTGAAAATTCATAAAAGTAAATACATATACTAATATACAAAACAATACAAAACAGAATACAATTTCAGGAAGATGAATCCAGCTTGAGGAATACTATTAAAAAAAAAATATTGACGCATATCTTAACCATATATTAAAATAATACATTCTGTGTGTCCGTGAGCCAGTAGCATTGACACATCGAGCGTGTGCGGTTTCTCTACATAACGAGGCGTTATAACATACCAAGGTTATTTTCAGCAATTGTTTGTATAGGTGTTGTGAATATTCCCAAACTCAAAGTTAAGTAATTACACACATCAAAAAAGTCTAAGCAAAATCCAAAAGTTTAATATTAGGTATGTTGTGACGGACTGTGTCATTATAATGATTGAATTCGTTTTTAACCGACTTCAAAAAAAGGAGGAGGTTTACAATTCGACTATATTTTTTTCTGTTTGTTACCTCATAACTTTTTACTGGGTGGACCGATTTTTATGATTCTTGTTTTATTTGAAAGCTTCCGGTATTGTCCCATTTCATTTTTCAGCATTGTATTTGTCAGACTTAGGAAAAGATTTTAGGTATATTAACAGACTAAAAAAATGGAGGTTCGCTCTTTAATACGGTTTTGACGCGGTTTTCAGAAAAGTATTTTTTGTGTTACCTATTATATAAAAATATTAACACCACTAAAGAAAAACTCCACCCGACGTAGGTTCTATTTTTGTTTTTAAGTTTTTTATAGATGTAGGATGCATAATAAAATAATATTTTCAGTAGATCAATTTTAAACTAAGTTTACCGCGAACATAACGTCATCTATCCTAACCAGTTCGGTTTCCAGCATGGGAAAGGCACAACTAATCTTTTGGCAAAATTTACGTATAATAATAATAATGCTGACAAACATCTTAACGTAAAAAAATCATGTATTTATTGTTATTTATAGATTTATCTCGTGCTTTTGATACTATTAATCATAAACAATTAATCACAAAACTTGAACAATGTGGGATAAGAAACCTTAATTAAATTGTGTGAAAATTATTTACAATGTCGAGCGTATGTAGTCAAAATCAATGACACCTATAGTGATCCAATTATGTCAACTGAGGATATACCTCAGGGTTCATTATTTGGGCCATTGCATTTTTTATCGTTTGTAAACGATATGAGTCGTTACTTGGAGCATACCGCTTGCTATCAATATGCAGACGATACGTGTCTTGCTGCTGCGAGTAGAGGTCTAGTGAAAACTCGTGATCGTCTGCAACAGGAACTCAACACGCTCCGAAAGTGGCGTCACGACGCTAGCACGGTATTGAGAACCCGGATAAAACCAAGCTATTACACATCAAATTACCATACTTAAAAAGTGATTACGTATTAAAAATGGTCGCATACAACCATGCGTGTTTACATAATACAAATTTCTGTTCTTGCGTCGCATGTATACCTATACCTAGGTCTTACGATTGGCAGCATATTTAATTGGAGTCAACATATTGAAGCTGTTTGCACTAAGGGTATGTTCCGATATACACCTCGAGCACTGCGCAGTGGTCTTACTGCTGAAAAATCCGTTCCGTTATGGACTGCCAGTACACTGCTACAGTACCCTAGGGAAATTTTTGACGTCATAAATTGCCGCCATATTTGTACTGTGAGCACTGGAGATTTCGAGGTAAGGTGCTCGCAGTGCTTTTGATCACGTGATCAGTCGAAACAGAATCAGAAAATGATAAGTTTCTAAATAAACAAAAAAAAATACTTACGTTTATTTATAAGATGGATTTAATTGATAAATATTTTTTATACAATTTTCCAATTTTCTTTTGAAAAGAGGGAATCTTTATATTTATATTCACCTTGCATTAACAAATTTGAAAATGGCGCCAAAAAATAAGATTAACAGTATATTGGACTGCGTTCCGTTTTAAAAAGTCACCAGTATAACTAGGCATAAAGGAACGGGCTTCCAGTATACTAAATTGACGTCATACTGTTCAGTGGTCGCAGTGTATATCGGAACATACCCTAAATTACGAGAGTTTTTGGCTAATGTCACTTTAACTAAAACTATACCTAATCTATCCAAAAGATCTGTTACAAAGAAAATATCCTATAATTTCTATGTTAACGTACTAAACTAGTTATTCAAAGCTTTAACGCATGCTTTTAAACGGTCGGGCCATTCGTCGATGGATTTACGAACGGTTTCCATTGGAGAGTTGGCCACTGCTTCCTGCAAAGATTTCTTGAGCGTCTCAATATTTGGGTGACGCTTAGAGCAGGCCATGTACTCTAGCACTAGGTTTAAGTCCGGACTAGCCGAAGGCCAATCATTAGCCTTTATGAAGTCTGTAACATTTTGCTGAAGCCTAGTTTATATTCGTTAAAAACGATAGTTTTACCGAATATCAACGCTGAATATGTATAATAATGATAACGGCCTTTGTCAACATTGTGGAGTGTTAACAGTTCTTTCTCATGTGAAGTATGCTCTTCACAAGGAATACTTTTTAGAGAGGAACTTCTGAAAAAACAAGAAGCACTCTGTGTACACGCGCGCCATTGCAAACAACAGATTTATGATCGAACGGGCTAACAACATATATGGCGAGCGGACGGTCAGTAACATTGTACCTCAAATAATTAAGGGACTACCCTCGGATTTAATACAGAGTATACGTCCTGACCACAAAGAGACCACAACTTAAAGAGACCACTAAGTGACTAAATACTGTACCAAGTGTATTGTTTGGTCACTTATTATTACTTGAATGTTCATATTAAAGTTGTTATAATATGTTATAATCCCCACAAATTGCTAATGCGCCTGGCCGCTATTTTGATGATGTAATTACGTTCAAAAAGCAGTACCGTTCGCAAATAAACACTGGTTGACGAGTACATTTATTGATTTGGCTCGTGTTGAGATCGCACATCCTTTTTGTTTAGTTTTGTTGTTAGGTACTTGCTATGGTTGACTAAAATAGCAACTGCTTATGATTTACACAATAAGTAAACAAAACTTTACAAAAAATAAATTCATCTAATTATTACTTTTGGTTATATTTAAAAAGTTTTTTTTTCCGTTTGTTATCGCTTTATTACAAGGTAAATATTTATTTTTTTCCATATTTACATATAAATTGTCTTTTTTTCTGAAAATTCATGTAATAAATAAACAAACTAAAATTTATTTAATTATTATAACAAAATTCAGGGAATTATTTATAAGTATTTCAATAATGACAAAATAATTTATATCTTGCCTTTTGTGCTATCTATACTTTCTATTTCCATATGACGTCACGCTGGTGTTATTTAGACAAGGCGCATTAGAAATTTACGGGACTTCTAAGTTGTTGCATGTTATACATATATAATTTACTAATTAACTGAATACTGAAGCTAGTAACTTTATAAATATCTAAAACAAAGAACACTCTCAGGCAGGTGACATTCCCAGGGCAGGCAGGGATTCCCATGCGTTGTCAATAGATAAAATGAAGCCCTTGTCAAGAGAAATCTGATATAGTGACTCTTTAAAACCGGCGTACGAACCAATTGACCAAGGTCAAATTATTGTAAGCAAGAGAATTAAATACTCGGTTAATTTCAGCAATTGGGTATTTTATCGCATAAATTAATAACCAAGTGCTTGCCACGAGGTGCGCTGTGTAGGGTTCCATTGGTGTCTCCAATGATATGCGAACTTATACAGATGATGACGCATTTTTTACGACGTAATTAATACCTATGTATTTCCATGTCAAATTAGTTGTCTAGTCGACTAACAAACACTTAAAAATAAACTTTAGAATGATTAAACAATAAGAATAAACATAATGTAGATTAATGTTTTTTGTACCTTCGAAAACTGTATTTATTTGTATCGTATTTAGTACTATAAGATTTTCTTCAGCAACTATGAATATTAAAGGTCTCTGAGTATGGATGTTTAAGTATTTGAATTTTGTACACTATGAGTCATGACGCACGTAGAACGTAGGGAATACCCGGAGGTGAAAGAACCTTGCATACACAATGACACATCACGATCTATAATGGAATGTAAACCAATGATTATGAAAGTGAAATTTAAACATAATTCTATTATGGCTATTCAAAAGGTATTGAAGTGCCATAACATGTACTTACAGATGTTTTATTATTAATGCTATGCTATAAGGTCATAAGAATGAACCTTACCACAATTTCCATAAAATATATGATGGGAGTTGGTGTTTATTACTCAAATTCACCAGCAATCAAAACTTTACAAAACCATGTGATAGGTGTATATATATAACAGAAGCAAGCTTTTATATCACTCCACAATTATGTTCAACCTACCTCTCTACTTTAGGCTCCACTTTGGGTTTGAAGGTGTCTGGCACATTCTCTGGGTGTTCCTTTGGGATTTGGAATACAGTGACTTGACCGGCAGCATTGCCAGCACCCACCATGTAATCTACAGTGCTGACTATCTTCACAAATGTTATAGGACTTGTTGCTGCCTGTGACAAAAAGACATGTTACACACTCAACTATGTGTTGAAAAAAATCCTCTCTGACTGCATTAGAAACTTCTAACAAACTGAGACAGTAAATTATTACTAATTGACCCCACTAAAGTGCCACCTTATAAAGAGAAAGATTTGATTGTTTGTTTGCATCAAATAGGCTCCAAAACTACTGAACCTATTTTATAAATTATAAAATTTTAAAACTCACCTATGACAACCCTATACTCTCTTAACCCTTTAAGGGAAAAATTTAAGGAAATAAACATAATGACTGTTGCTTCTCAACACATATACGAGAACTTAATGTATGTTCTTAAAAATATTAGTTTGTTTTATATAAAAAGTGATGTTTACAATTTTAATACAAGAAATAAACATAAATTAATGGTGCCTGTCACTAGACTGCAAAAAGTTAATAACTCTTTCAGGGGTCTTTGTGTGCGCTTCTACAATAAGGTCCGAAGCAAAATACAACAATTAGATATCATGCAGTTTAAATCTACTATTAAAAAAATACTTATTAAAAAAGCTTATTATAAGGTATCCAATTATATAACAAATAAGAACGCTTGGACTTGAGATGATCCAGCAACTGGATAGGTGATTACTTCTTAACTCATTATAGGTATATCAAAAATTATATTGCTTCCATTATTATTAAATGATTATGTTATCATTATAAGACCATTGTTTTTTTTTTTCTCTCTATTTATAATTTATTGATCTGGTAATAACATGGTTTTTGTAAATGTATTAAAGCTGATGAGTTTCTTGCTCGTTCTTCTTATCAGCCAAAAGACATCCTGAATGAGTGGTAGGGATAAAAAATGGTGGACGATTCAAAAGTATTTTTAAGAAGTCTATTTGAATAAAGATTATTTTGACTTTTTATATAATGTAGCTTACATTATATGGGGTTGTCATAGGCTATATTTTATACTGATAAACAGAATATAAAGTAATGAAAATGAGAATGGCATCTTGTATAGGGAATTAAAATGTTACTATGGTAACCATTGTTTAATATTCAAGCTTCCACTGTTAGTTTTTAATCATTCCACTAAGTCCCACCAGTGGGGCAGCTTAGTAGGACAAAGTGGAGGAATTTGAAATAACATATAAACAGGAAAATTTACTCTGGTATACCAACAAGTAATAATTATTATTTTCCTGATCTAAATGAATCACAAAACTGTTAATAAATTAATGTGACAGTAGTTCCAACATTATCAACTATGAATAGGCATCATCAATCATATATTTTCACTTTATCACAGAATACTGTAACTATTTATAATATTAATGCATTATCAATTAATAGTGCATAAATAAATCAATCTTCTTCTTCTTTATTTATTTTATGAATAAAACATAATTGTGGAATACAGATATTGCTTGTGATGTTAATTATATCTTGTAGAAACCACATACAATTTTCTGAAATTCTGCATACTTATCCTTACTAATGCAATAAATATATTGCCACACTAGGCCATAGAAGTTTTGTGAAATTACATGCTGTTGGCTGTATTAAAAGATTTATACACATTAAATTGTTATTTTCAAATATTATATTTGCATCAAATATTAATAGTCTGAAGAGATAACATAATTTTTTACAACTTTTTAGAATTCACAATTGTGTTAAATTAATATGCTTCTGATAGCTAACTCCACAATGTAATTGTTTATAAGAGTAATGAAAACATTAAAAAACACATCACTTTCAATAACAAACAGTTTCTGTGGTAAACATCCTTATCTAAATGTTTCAATTAAATTATGATTTGTTTATCTGGGGATGAACTAATTTAAATAAAATGTTCCCTTTAAATTATGAACTTAAAATGTTTATCAAATTTATGAGAAAGTGGCGCAAGGTTAAATGAAAGTGAAGTAAGTACTATAACATACAGATACGTTTAATTAACTTACCTCACATCTTAATCTTTGAATGTTTCCTTTTTTTCTATCATACCAGTATACCAAACCTACATTGGTTCCGAGAGCAATATATTCACTAACAGAATCTACACAGGTTAAACACAATTCGTTGGAAAATAACCCGTTCTGTATACGAGGTGGAATCAAGTTCAAAATATGCGAACAAGGTGTCCACTCTCTCACAAAACCTTCTTCAACACCACCAGACACCTCCATTTTTTATCAATACTTTTATTTTTTTGGGATATAAACACGAAAGTCGAATAATAATTTACATGACTAATAAAAAGCACCAGATTGTTTTTGAATTTAAGTACCCAATAATCTCGACCACTAGAACATTTTGTTTGACGCGATTGATTTTTCGCTTTGACAGATGACAGTAAAAAGCACAGTGACAGAGGGTGGCAGACTTACTTATAAGACAGTCGCATTAACTAATAACTACAAAGTTAAGACAAAGGGATCGTAGTACATACGTCTTACTCTTCCGTATTAGTATTTTGTTTCACAAAGATTGATGTATAAATAACAGTAAGCCTATTCGCCTTCGCTTTAAGCTGTCAGTTGAAGTGATAGAAGTGTAATCCATATTTAAAAAAAAACACCGTAAATAGTGAACAATTTTATTCTACACTAAGCGCAGTTAGGCAGATAACAAATTAGGTAATGCATAAGTGCAACCAGCTATGCAAATGCAATAATTAGCGTACATGAACAGGTAAAGCACAATAGCGAACAATAGAACTGCTCGTGGCAAGTAAGCAAGACTATGTCTGTCAAACTTGTGATCGTACTCTTTAACATACAACTTATATAAAAACAAAAATAATACCATTTTTAATCAATAAATTAAACAATTCGGTTTAAATCCGATTCTTTGGTAATAATCATAATGGGAAACTATATTTTTTTTTGACGTGGATACGTCTATGTTTTTGTTCTACAGGGGGGTCATTCGGTGAGCAGGAGTATATGCACTAACGCCATCTATTGGCGTATAAGTGAACTATGCTTGCTCTGCAGGGGGAGGGGCATTCTGTCAGCAGGAGTAAATGCACTAACGCCATCTGTTGGCGCTAGTGAATATTTTTTTCATTCAACAAATGAACGCAACGAATATTTATTTATTTAGTGTTTAGTGTCTTCAATTTGTTTATTTATTTTTTTATCAATTACTCATATATCCATTCATACATAGACGTATCCACGCATAAAATATGGCTGTATCAATGATACAGCCAATCAGGGTTTTTCTAAAACGAATTTTTGAATATTTAACCCATATATATATTTAAAAAGTTTTTTTCTTTAGCAGCACTTTTTACAGATGATAACAGTTTCTTGTTTTCGGCAGTTAAATGGCCGTTTATAAATATTTTTAATGAAGGGTTATTTTTTCCCATTTCTGATGACTTATGCTCAATTTTAGTGAGTCTTATTTCCACTTCTTTCAAGTTATCACTGTTAAATTCACAGGAAGATTTAAGGCCGGAAAGCTCATTATTTATTGACTCCACAGCAAGTACAAGACTTGGTATTTCAACTAGATGTTTTTTCTTGTCTTATAACTCGTGAAATAGCATTAAGATCAAGAAAGATTTTGATTACAAGTCCCCATCTAGTGGAGGTGCTTTTTAGTGCTTTCGTATTTTTTAAATACTTCCTCATTATGACAATAATAATATTGTAATCCAACCACTATGTTCACTATGATGTCTTGTAATATGTGGATGATGTGTATGAAAAATGAATTCACTTTTTTTAAATACTTCCTCATGGAAGCAAATAATAAATCAAATCATTCTCTCTTTGTGCAACCTACCTCTGACTGCAATGTTTGATGTTGCATAATTTTTTTACTTGTTACAGCCTTTTCAGTTAGTTGTTTTTCGCGCAGGCGGGTTTTTTGTTTTATATTTACATTAAAATTTTCTATTATATACTTCAAACCTTCTTTGGTATTTTGAGGCAGTCGAGGAAATAATAAAAAATTTATATGAAAGAAGTATGTAGCACCACTTTTATGGTTTATATGGGATAGTTATTTATCGTAAACTGAAATAAATTTCATGATCTGGCAGCACCAATTTTTTATACGTCATCATAGAAAATAAAAAATATACGTCATCGATATTTGTCAGTTTCTTGCTTGTCAAACATTGTCAAAGTTGGGGACGTAAAAGCGAGAGCCCTCCCTTTTACGTTATTTTGTTGATAATTTAAAAAAAATGGCAGATTCAGCCACAGAAATACCTCTAAATATAGAAGAAAGTGTCCGAGACGCTGTCCAAAATGGCACGGATAAAGTAACAAATAGTATTGAGGGCGTCGCAATTGCTTACCTGAGTTTAGTTATTATGGCTATTTTACCGATATTTTTCGGATCGTTTAGGTCAGTGAAATACCTAAAGGAACAAAAGGTAAGAAATCGCAATATCTTAAGAATTCTTATGTTATTTTGAGTCACAATTTTTGAGTGTGTGAGAGTGATCGGTCCAATACGAAAAGGACACGTCTAACATCGTGGCATATTTTTTCTACGATCAGAGTGCGTGTATAAAGTAACCTGTGCTATTTGCCACGAAAAAATCCAATCTTTATTTTTAAATTTGATGATAATTCTATCGATTTTATTGACTATAAATAATAGTATCAGAAATTTATATTTTTACGAGAATGATTTCTGCTAATGGTAAACTTAATGTTTTACCAATAAATGGACAATTTAATAATTAAGATGATAAGCATGTGTACCTTGTACTCTTGGGTTAATAAACAAAAATTAAATATCATTTATTAAAACAAATCATATACCCATTTTGAGTGGATTATAATATACAAAAGATGAAAAACCTATCAATTATCACTGGAATTTTTCTGGTTGTACTTTAGAATTAAAACCACTTAATGAAATACAAAGTATAGATTTCATGTTATGTTTTTTGTCAGGAATCTGGAGAACGTCCAGAGACTATGTCCAACAAGGATGCACTGATGTTCCCATTGATTGCATCATGTGCACTGTTTGCTCTGTACATCTTCTTCCAATTCTTCTCTAAGGAGTATATCAATCTTCTCCTCACAGTTTACTTCTTCTTCCTTGGAGTGCTTGCGCTGAGTCATCTTCTCAGGTAAATATACATTTAAAACTATTTTACCACTTTGGAGTTTTATACTCCAAAGTGGTAATATAGTTTTAAAAGATCTAGCTTAGCTTTGATACATACTGCAGAAGAGGAAAGATACTTAAGCACATAATGTCAATAATAGTTTTTGAATTTTGGAAGAGGTACCAGAGGGATAATGACCTTTTTGGGGGTTAAAAAATATCCTATTAATTTGTGCATAATTTAATGATAAGGCAGTTTATGATGACAATCAAAAACTAAATTTAGTCTAGCTTCTGTCAACAAAATTGGCAATATTGCTTACTTAATAAAGTGTCACCGCAAAATGGAAATACACATTTTCACATATATAACATTAGCTCAATTACAATGGCATCATGTGATATAGCAGAGTCACTATGAATAGGGAATCAGACAGTTTAAAAAGTTCATAAAGTTTAAAAAATATTTGCCAATTATTTTTGCTAAATATTAACTATTTATATTTTTAAATAAAAGACAAAAATACAATTTTCCAATATTTGTAGTTTCATTAGAGACAATGAGACACAATCTCACTAAAAAAGAAACACTAATCAGAGTATTTTACATCATTTGTGGGTAAATTTGGTTTTAACAGCTTACAAGGGGCAGTTTACTTTGTTATGTATTGTAATTTTAAATATAAGTACTGCAAATGATAATTCTTTTTTTTTTACTGAAAATCCCTTTTGTTTACCACCCAAATGATGTCACACTTATTTGTTTTTTTTTACACAGTTAAATTTTAAGCATAGTTTGGATAAATAATTATGTGTATTTATTAATTTAAAACAGTTTTTAGAAAGATGTCAGTTTCCCTATTGTATGGTTGTTAAAATAAATATTATACATTTTTTTTATTTATTTATTAATGAAATACAATATGTATACATTTTTTATAATGCACCCACACCCCATAGTATCTTTATTTTTATCCATTTTCACCATAGGTTGCCTGGAAGAAAATGCTGTTTAGCAATAAGGCCGCCATTTGTTTACTCAATCTCTTAGATAATAAGCTTTTTTGTAAACTATGTATCATATTGAGTGCAATAAAGTATTTTATTATTATTATTATTTGTGATGTATCATAATACTTGTTAATCAACTGTTTTCTCAAACCAAGGTTGAATATCTTGTCTTCTAGTACATTACTACACACAAAATATATAGTTGTGAAAATAATGTTGTAATGTCATATTAAATTACTTAAAATATAGTACATAGACAGTAAACGAAAATAAATACATTTTATTTTTTTCTGATTCATACTATCATGCTTATCTTATTTATTTTTTAAATGAATTATGAAGAAACGATTATTTTATAATTGTTGTCATGTGATTACAAACAGCGCGTGACGTCACAGGAAGACGTCATAAATATATGATTTTGCATTGACATACATAGAACTGTGCATAGAACGATGTTTGTTGTTGTTTATGTTAGTTACTGAGGGCTGTGACGTCACATCGACGCCATGACAGAGGTTAGCGTTTAAACGGCTAATTTTGAACATTAAAGTTATTTTTAGTTTTTAAATTAATACCTACATGAGAGATAATTTTTTTAAATATATAAAGTATATCTATAAAATAAAAAATTAAAACAAACGTCTACACCCGTATTTTTCAGGAGTATTATAGCATAAATTATTAGCATTTTGGTGGAACTGGAAAAACTAATTTTCAAATTATTATTTATTTACTTTAAATACAGCCAGTTGCACAAACTTCATTAGCTTAATATTCAATTATACTAATAATTAGAGTTTAATATTAATAGGATTCTAATAAAGCCTTAATAATGTCACATCCAAATAAACAATTATAACATTTCATTTAGGATCATCAAGTTAATATTTTTATAATTTTTGTTAAATTACAAAACCTCTTAGAGGTGACATTCTTTATTAGTAATAAATCTCATTATATAAAAAAAATGGCACCATCTAGTGATGGCTATAGTAACACAAGTAATAAGTCTTATAGCATAAATATATTGAGATATAGGTTAACGCGTTCGGAAGTTAAGCAACTTTCGCAAAGGCTGTTCATGGGATGGGTGACCAAAAATCCAATAGATCCAATTTGCACACGGTCTTCGTGGTGGGGTACGGCCCATTCTCCCTATTTGGGCTGTACCCAGTAATGGGGACTTCAATATAGTGATGATGATTGGTAAATGAAAATCAACTCATAAAAGTATATTTATGAACCTTGGTTGAAATAATAAATTGTTTATTTATCTGCAGCCCGATCATCTCATTCATGGTGCCGGTGTCGATACCGAACGTGCCCTATCACATACACTTCACGCGCGGCGAGCGCGACAACCGCTCCGACATCATCAACTACAAGTTCACTTCATACGATGTCATCTGTTTGCTTATCTCACTCTGCCTCGGCGGCTGGTATCTGCTTAAGAAGGTAAGCTATATTAATTTTTATCTGGTTCTTATTTCAATTGACAAAACTAATAATGAATCTTTATCAACGAAAGTAGGGTAAAAAACTAATGAATGTCGATTTCTTTTTTTTCGCTTATATGCAAGACAAATGAAATAGTTGAATAATACACATGGGCATTACAAATCATATTAAGACAAGGATAGAAATATACCACCTCTGTGGTGGAGTGTCTTGCACGCCTGTTTTAAGGTGTTGCTATAACTGAAGTCAATAGAAAAAGCTAATATACCTATCGATCGATTGCTATTTATTCCTTTTTGCATAATTTCACTTAAAGTAACATCGAAATTAAAACAGCAAGTTTCTTTTCCAAATAGAACTAAACAGACAAAATAATAACAAAACTTTATGTAAAAATCAAACAATGTTAACACCCACTATGCAGATTACATACACAACACTATCCTCTCGATGTATAGATTTTTTGAAACATCTAACATAATGACAAAAAAACAATCCAAACTAACGGCCATAAACAATATATAATGTTGTACAGTATTATCTTTTCACTCGAACTGAAAGTCACATTGGAATGAATAGAGCTATGTGTAAAAAAAAAACAGCAGTTATAAGTTTAATAATTGTAAGGTTATAAATTAACAGTGTATGTAACATAAAAGCCTTGAAATGAAAAAAACACGTGTCACTTTTTAATTTATGCAGAGTATGTTGAGTTAGAAGGTCATAAATCATATAGATATTTTTAAAATAAGAAATAAGCATTGGGGTCATGCCGCTACCCAAATACGAGCGCCTGCCTTAGGCAATGAGGAAGTATTTAAAAAAAAACATTAGTTCTCGAAATCAAACTAGATGTTGCTACGGTTCTTGATTTCTCCATGACAACCTTACCGGTTTTCTTTCAAGTTTACAAGTAGATTCGTTTTCAAAACTCAACAAACAACTGATATTCTATTTGTACTTTTTCGTATTTTTATTGATATCTAAGTTTCGAACTTTTAAAATTTCAGTTTTTTAAAGGAACGGAAATGACTGTCTTTAGTCCATTCGTTTCCTGCAAAAATCAACTTTTGCTAGAGTTGCCATCGAGTGGAGGTGCTTTTTTGGTGCTTTCGTTTTTTTTACATACTTCCTCATTGCCTAATTTGCCTATATGGACGAGTCGGCCCTGTACTTGTAGATAATATTTGCTATTTATTTGTGGGTTGTTTTTCATATTATGTGAGAATTATCAAAATTCCCTCCCTTCTAATAAGAAACTGTTAACCCTGTAATAAACGGAAGAAGCCTCACGAAACCCCAATTGCTTACAGTAAGGATTGAACACATTTTTCTTCGCTGTCTTTTTTTCTGTTGTTGAAAACCGCCATTTGTTAGAGCGAGATAGAGCGGGTGTGCTGTAGCACGCCACGGAAACCTCGAGTTGATAAGCAACACGCTATATTTCTCGCTCTAGCAAAAGGATGTTCTGAGTAATAGAAAATGATAAGGCGTTGGAAAAGACGATAAGACGACAATTCTGGTAGATATAGCTCAACTCTTTAGGAACTAGCCACTAAAATACACTGCACTGTCACGAGATGTATACTGTATATTAATTGCATCTGAATTGATGCAATAAAATAATATTAAACATTGATATCAATAACTGTTTCTTATCAAACAGTTGGAGTTATCAGCAATGTACTAAGGTACAAAATAAACAAAAACATTGAAAGATATTAATATCTTCAGTTATTTTACACTATTAAAACGGGTATTGTTAATAGCAACAGTCATTTGTTTGCTGTTTTAATGTTTATTGTGATCTTACGACACAAATAAGACAAAATAATCAATTATAATATTGTAACATATGCTCTTAATATATTAATCTGAATTGTTCGTAAGGGTAAAACTCTCTATTCTTGAAACCAACATTTTGCTTTCATGTAACTAGAAATTTTGGTTTACCATACGGGTGCCAATAACTGTACGCCAAACAGCTTACAGTGTCTAACATGTAGGTACTTCACACAGCTCGCCAACGTAACCTTTTATGAATAAAACATAGACTTAGGTATAAATGTTACGACAGCACAATAAAGAAAACCAAGTAAAAAAAAAATCGTTCAAACAATTGTGTTGGTTAAACTCATAAATAAACAGTGTTGTTTGTCTGTTTGTGGTCCTGCGTTACATAAAGTATATTATATTTGCTACACAGCACTGGATCGCGAATAATCTTTTCGGCATTGCGTTCGCGATCAACGGCGTGGAGCTGCTGCACTTGAACAACGTGGTGACCGGGTGCATCCTGCTCTGCGGCCTGTTCCTCTACGACATATTCTGGGTGTTCGGCACCAACGTCATGGTCACCGTCGCCAAGTCCTTCGAGGCCCCGATCAAATGTGAATATTGTTTGTTTTACTAGCGTCACTGAAATAAACGTATGTTAATACAAAAACAACAATAGGGGTTAAAGTATGAAATTGCCGATTTGTATTGAAAATCAAAATTGTTTATTTTTTTAATTTTAATAAATTTATTTAATCATAATATTTACCACTATTATCTATACATTGCTGCCATCTAATAGGAAGGTCATTTATGAGTTTGAGATATAACTCTGAGGATTAGCTCTTCATATATATAACTCTTCATTAGAAGACCCCTCTCCAAACGCAACATTAATATTGCATGCTGTTTCTGCCGCGTTACTTCCGCGTCGGAACTCGTATTCAAAAATCACTCGAATTTTCGCAGTATCCAACTTTCTTGTCTAAGTTGAATAACAAAAACAGTTGCAAGTCGATATTCAAATGTTTCACATTTTTTAAAAGAAGAACATCATAGAAACCATTTGAAAAAAGTTTCCTTCGAAAACCATGAAGTTTCTATGTCAATTCAAAGAACCTATTACAATAAAACGGCAATTTCATACTTTAACCCCTAATAAAGCCTACCTTCGTTGTCACCGATGATCCATAATACGAGGGCATTGGCTACACATTTTGGAATCTGAGCAATGTGTTTGATACTGTCTTATATTTATTTATTTGAATGTTAACACTTATTGTTAGTAATTGTTTTTAACCGACTTCAAAAAAGGAGGTTCTCAGTTTGACCTGTATATATGTGTGTATGTTTGGCTGAATCAATTTTTATGCGGGTTAAAAAGTGCTAGAGAATCTCAAATGTATATTTTAAAGAAAAATTTTGTACAGTTCAGTCACCAAACAGAAAGAACTGCTAAATTGAACAAAACATGAATAGCATTCAAATTCATACAAATGTAAATTTTTGTCGGGTAATAATTGGGTTCGTAAATAAATTAAAAATAAAAACAAAAAGGATGAAATTATAATATAATGTCACCATTAAAATATATCATACAGTGTTTGCAACTATTGTTCCATAACTGTAAAAATGATTGAGGTTTACTTCTGTGCGAGCGCAATGAGGAAGTATTTAAAAAAAAACATTAGTTCTCGAAATCAAACTAGATGGGGCTACGTAACAACGCTTTCGGTTTTTATTTAATGTTTAAAAGTAAATTAATTTTCAAAACTCAATAATAACTCATATTCTATTTGTACTTTTACGTATTTGCATTGATATCCAAGTTTAAAACTTAGCAAATTTCAGTTTTTTAATATGTTAGTTAGTTAAAAGGAACGGAAATGACTAACTTTATTCCATTCGTTTCCTGCAAAAATCAACTCTTGCTCAAGTTGCCATCTAGTGAGATGATTTCAATTCTTTCCTTTAAAAAAAAAAAATACTTCCTAATAGTAACATAAATATTTAAGAGATGTGTAATGCCGTGTTCTTGAACGACATTCTCTCTGTTCACCGACCGGAGGACTGTAGTTAATAAAATCTGGTTGACCAGTCCTTCAGTGCGGGAAACGTGTTCAGATTTACGATCGCATACTACCACATACATCGTCGGTTTCAACTCGTTTCCCTTCCAGTGGTGTTCCCGCAAGACTTGCTCGTAAACGGCCTGAACGCCAGCAACTTCGCCATGCTCGGCCTCGGCGACATCGTAGTGCCCGGAATCTTCATCGCGCTGTTGCTGAGATTCGACAAGAGTTTGAAACGCAACTCGGAGTTCTACTTCCGCGCGACATTCACCGCGTACATCGTGGGCTTGCTCGCCACTATACTGATAATGCACATGTTCAAGCACGCTCAGCCGGCGCTCCTGTACTTGGTGCCGGCCTGTTTGGGCACTCCGCTGTCACTGGCCTTGTTGAAGGGGGACATTAACGCACTATTCAAGTAAGTTCAGTTTTTTCACTCGAACTTTGTTGACAATACGGGTGTAGACAGTGAACGAGAATAGATAAATATTATTATTTTTGCAGTTTGACAGTTTGAAATCTTAATTTAGTGTAGTTGATGAATTTTAATGTTACAATAGTAAAGTAGAATGATAAATCTCCATACATGCATTTTTTAAATGTTGATATATATTTATGTCACTGATTACCAGAGGTCGGAATTAGGTAGAGTTATTCATGTACTTACACTGATTTCATACAGCGAAAGAATGAAGTGGATATGTCTCAAATCCCGAGATTAATTTTAAAGAGCAGAAAAAATCCCGTGATTTTTTAAATAAAAAGTTATTTACTTTTACACAATTTAAACTACTGCATGCACGACGTAGCCAAACTTACATCAATGAAAGAAAGAAATAAAGAAATCCCGGGAAGGTCCACATTAATATCAACATTTCGATGCAAGTACATAAATAACTCTACCCGATTCCGACCTCTGCTGATTACTCAGTTAATTATAAAATTTAATAATAACAGTTTGTTGTTTTTACCATAGGTCGCCATCCTTGGTCTCTTACTAAAGTGAAAAAAAAAATAAAAAATTGCATATTCTATTTGATAACCACCCAAATACATAAAATTCAATCGGTCATTTTTCTACTTTTTTGAAGACGTACAGTGGACAGCACATAACTAAGGCCAAAATTCTCTAATCGATTTTAAACATTAAAAATATATACAGTAGGCAAAAGTGATTGCAGAAATTTAGCTCTATTTAGCGACTTAATACTCTGCTTTATATAGATCTCGGGTTCTTTTTTTAATTTATGGCTTATATAGAAAAAGAAAGTGTTGTTCGCAATTATATAAGGTCAAGAATTACGCTTTTAATGAATGATGAAGGAATACACTTATGATAAAATTAATAATCTTTTGTTATCCAGTTACGAAGATCAACCCGTCGTTGAGGGCGCCGCTGACGCGAAAACGAAGAAGTCTGAATGAGAGCACAAAGGACATAGTACATTCGTTACAGGAAACAAATCCTCTATTTTTTATCTGTATGACAACGGCGAGGGACCATGGCCCGTGGTTTTAGAAGACGTTTCTTTATTAAAGCATTTCTCTGTATAATTATAATTTGACACTTTAATTTTTATTGTTATCAATATTGGTGAACTTCCGAAGTATCTTCCAAAATATTTTTTTTTCTACAGAATATTTTTCGTAATTAAGCATTATACATATATATGACAATGTTTTGCGCATAATTTTATAGGTTGTACGTTTGATAGATATTTAGATTTAGTAAAGTAAAGTGTGTAATATAATATTTGGCTGAACGATTCCATTCCTTTGTCAGATGAATTATTTAAAAAGGTTATTTTATATTTTTTTTCTTCTTCAAGAAGTAATAATTTGTGTTAAGGTATTTTAGCAGAAATCGTTGTATATAAATGTTTTTTTTTTCTTAGAAACGTGAACATAACTATTATTTTTAGCAAATTAAGTTTATTTTCTTTTGTTATATATATGAGAATATCATGGATACAACTTCTTTACAAGTTACCATTGGAACTTCAATTTTCTCTGTTGTCAAATAAGGATTTATTCAATTTAAACTGGTCGATATTGTAAGGCATACGAGGGTCAAACTGAAAGTTCTTAGAAAATCAAAAACTGATTACATTAGCCAGTTATTAGTTTTATTATATCTTTTCAAAATATTGTCCATTCACGTCAATACACCGCTGCATGCGATGGAACCACTGGGAAAAGCACTTTGCCCACTCGTCCTTAGGGGTCTCTTCAATGGCATCGCGATACGCAGCCACCGCTTCTTCAGCATTCATAAACCGCTTTCCTTTAAGTTTTTCTTTAATTTTTGGAAATAAATAAAAATCACAAGACGCGAGGTCGGGGCTATACGGCGGGTGACCCAGTAATTCAACGTTTGATGTCGCCAAATAGTCGATCGTTCGCTTGGCGGTGTGCGACGAGGCGTTGTCGTGGTGAAGGAGGATCCTACTGCGAGGTCGTTTCTCTCGAACTTTTTCCAAGACAAGTGGCAAACAATTGGTAGTGTACCATTCTGCAGAAACTGTTTTTTGATCCTCTAACACAATTGTTGCAAAATGACCTATCCTTCCAAAGAACGAGGCCACCATTTTTTTTCCCGCACTTCGATCTCTCTTCACTTTAGTTGGCAACTCCTCGAAAGGAAACACCCACTGAGCAGATTGTCTTTTGGTTTTAGGATCATAACAGTAAATCCAGCTTTCGTCACCTGTTAGTATGTCGAACACAGCATTTGAGTCACCTCCGTTAAATCTTTCAATCATTTTACGACACCAATCCACACGATGGAGTTTTTGAGCCTCAGTCAAATTATGAGGTATCCACCGGGCGCAAAGCTTCCTGACCGCTAAATGTTCGTGGAGGATTTTGTGCACTTGACTCATACCGATGCCTAAGCTTGTCCGAATCTGTTGATAGGTCACTCTTTTGTCAGTCTCTATCATACGCCGCACAACACAGATGTTATCTTCAGTCGTCGCCGTAGAAGGCCGTCCCTCACGTAAATCATCAGTGAGATTAGTGCGACCACGTTTAAACTCATTAAACCAGTTGTAAACAGTCGCACGAGATGGGGCTTCATCGTGAAAGGCCAATCGTAGTCTATCATAACTTTCTTGTTGACTTAAATGACATCGAAAGTCATAAAAAATCATTGCACGAAAATTTTCTCGTGTTAAATTCATGATGACGTGACACAGACAATTTTCAATTTGCCGCCAAATCGTAAAACAAATGACAAATGAATGAAATATATACTCAGTAATATTGGCAAAGAGTTATATTTTCAAATTTTAGAATTATTTTTTTATTATATTGTTTATAAGTGGCCAGTTCTAAGAACTTTCAGTTTGACCCTCGTATTGAAATTATTTTTATAATACATATATAATAAAATTTAAATACTCCGAATGAAATCGCCTTAATTTTTATTGGTTTATTACGAAATTTCATAATTTAACCGATTTTCCTTTGAAACTTTCTATGTAGTTTTATTGTTAAAATTATTTATATATTCTTTTGATCTGGAACCCAAATTCTACATTTAAGCTCCTCTATGACGTCCTTAGAAACTTTATACCATGTACTTATAATTGTTAGAATAATCAACTTAATGGTATGGTAATCAAGGTCAATTTTATTTGGCGAGAACTCCATTCGGTATGATAAACAAGAGAGCTATAATAAATGAACTCGGAATTGATATTTGTTTAATTTCCAAGTGGATCTCATCTCATATACCTGTTGTAACGTTGTTCTATTTAATGATAAAACAGTAAATTAATGTTTACGTGTCTCCGTATTAATTATGAATTGTTTATCATTATTTACAAACTGCAAATAAATTAAAATAAATAATAATCTTAAAACTATGTTAATTTTTAATGAAAACTTAATAACTACTAAAGAATAAATAATTATACGTTAAAAAAAAATAATACTTAAAACCTAACTATATACAAATTAAATATTTACAAACAAACAGATCGCACGCAGATGTAATATATATATACAGCGATGTTGGCGCGGGCGCGGGTAGCATAAAAAACGATAACAAGTCGACCGCGCGGCGGCCGGCGGCGGCCAGCCGCTCGTGCCTGTTGCGAGCCACACTTACAAATGAATCTTGTTTGAAAACAGCTGTGTAACGCTTTTCAAAATATAAAGTCTGTTCGATTTTTACTAAGTCTTCGAATGACGATTTTTATTTTAAATAAATATATATAAAAAAAAAAAGTTTAAATAAATATAAGAAACACTTAGAAGTGTAGTGAAAAAATATAATCCCGTACTGGGTAAGTTGTGCATTTAACCAATTATTTAATGAGTAGAAACGTTTGAATTATTGTAGTTACTTATTTTACATTTCTAAGTATGCAGCTTTTGCTTAATTAATTTACTTAAGTTTAACAAGAATCACCGTAATATTTCATGATCAATAATAAAAGTCATTATTGATATATATTTTATATTGCTACCTACGTTCCATGTTCTTTTTTTTATTTCATTTAAATGCCATCAGTTTATGTAACCGTTACTGCTTTTTTTATTTATAACTGCCACTTCGACCCAGATTAATTAAGAATACTCTCTTCACTCCTGTACTAACTAGCTTTGCTAGATTCTACGATTTAATTGCTAATTTTAACGACCAACGCTAGTGGCAGTACCCGACTTCTCTTTCCGGGTAATAATGTGGCATTATTGTGACTTCTTCAGGAACTCCGTACGGATTAAGAAAATCACGCCAACTTTACTTATACTGGGAATTGATATTTGAGAATTGGAGAAGTGCCTTATGGAAACCAGAAATTGAAGCCCGGCGCACCGTAGAATTCACAGGAGTACAGGGAAGTTCTATCGAGTGATCTACCATCAGACCTCTAAGAAACCTACCCACGACCCTAGGGACCTTGACCTCGATTTTACTTATCGCAAATAAATATCCTTTCTTATATATCGTTCTTTTTTTTTTTTTATTACTTAATAAGAAAAGAACGTGTCACTGTCTATGAGTTGTAGTGAACCTTAAACGTATAACCCTTTTTGGTTATTTTCTATTGTAGTTGTTGTATTGGTTACTATAGTAGCATAAATTAACATCGTGGGTCCAACCTCCTTTGTGTTTATGGTATATGCCGCTTTTGTTAAATTTTCATTGTCATGCTTATTAAGTCTTTCAAAAAGGAAGAGGTTCTATTCACCGTCTATATATTTTTTATGTATTTGCGGAATGATCCGCAAATTATTGGCCGATTATCAAAACTATTAGATGGCTCCTAAGCCTAATCCGTATGTATTTTATCGAAAATGGATTAGTAGTTTTGTTTTTATTACAAAATAATCGAAATCTATCGGATTTGCCAAATATAAAAAATTACTAGATGACCTACTTACATCATCGAAAGACAAAAGATTTTTATGACACCTATTAAAAAGATTTCATCATTTTTTTTAAATAAAAAAGTGAGAAACAATACCTAATTATCATAAAAACGGTTTTATTTTTCAAGGAACCGCTAATGACAGAAAAACAGGAGCGGGTCGTCGGTTTGAGGTCGGAGCGGAATTTTGCATAGAAAAATTCCGCTCCGACCTCAAAGGATTAAACCGCTTTTAATCTGTTCTATTTTTTTTTTTAATTAATACTGTGCTGACATGTAGTCCACATAACAAACAACAATATAATGTTAAAAGAAAGAAAAAATTTTAGACTGTATGTACCATAATCATAATGTGTGCTCTTAAATCAACGTGACCCAATCGAGTGTATGGCAACTTGGACTCTGGGATTACATTAATTTTTGGGAGTCGAGATTCCTCCAATATAAAGACATTATTGTATGTATCTGTATATAAGATTGTGTTTTGACGTTTTTATTAAAAAAATACAAAACCGTAGTAACAAATTAACGTAATAAATATACAATCTATATATTAAACAACAGTTTATTCTTACATAAATAGTTTACATATTACACTATGAGAATACAATGAGTTATTCCGGCGGTAAATTTTTATTTATAAATCCGAGTCCAGTGCATTCTATTACACTGTGGTCGTCCTCCGTGTGAACATTGAATTTTATCTGAAACAGATCATAACAATTATAACTATAGATTTAATTAGTTTGATTCTGCAAACGTGATGTTCGCTGAGCTTGTATCACGTAATTTCCTACTGTATTTTTTTATCCTAATTCATTATTACACTTTGGGTCAGAAATGTTCCTATGCGAATTTAGTAGTAGTAGTAGTTTCGTCCATGGGACAGGCGAAGGAACTAAGCCATACAGTCAAATCTTGGGTCATGCGAATTTAGAATGAGAAAGTATTTTAAGAAAAAAAAAGAAAGCACTAAAAAAGCACCTCACTAGATGGCGACTCTACCAAAATTTGATTTTTGCAGGAAACGAATGGACCAAAGATAGTCATTTCCATTCCTTTTAATTAACATTTAAAAAACTAAAATTTGCTAAGAACGAAAGTTAAATATCAATACAAATACGAAAAAGTACACATAGTATATGAGTTCTTTATTGAGTTTGAAAATTAGTTTACTTTTATACATGAAAGAAAACCGGAAAGGTTGTCATTGAGAAATCAAGAAGTACCGTAGCGACATCTAGTTTGATTTCGGGAACTAATGATTTTTTTTAATACTTCCTCATTAAAAGTGCATTCAATCCTTTGTTTACTCTGTTACTGGGGTAATCGATAAAACTTAACACGAGTATTATGCGAGCGTTGAACGTGACGTAAACAATACACATCCTTGCCAATAGAAATGCAGGACACTTTTTTACATAATATTTATAAAACTAGTGCTAATCACTCGCATATGAGTCATATAAGATAAGATACGGTTACTAAGAAGTCGACTATTTTCACATGCCCCATACAAATAAACAAAAATATCTCTTTATATAATGTTAAATAATTATGATTTTCTCATAAGTCCGTACTCTTTAATTCTCCCTAACGAAAGTTGCCACCTCTACCCCAACCACGGGCAGTTCTCCGTGGGATAGATTCGGAGGGGACATGTTCTTCGATTGTTTACCAAATATATCCGACTCACAAAAAAAAGGACGTAACTCTTTTTAAAATTATATTGCATATTAGCGTCGTGAACACCAACCTTGGCTATCAGTTCGGCTATATGCATGGCGGTTTTGGTGTGCAACGTGATATCTCCCACTTTCACCGATGATTTGCCTGCAGCTAAGGCCATATACAATATTATCTGGTCCTGTAAACAGTACACACAATTATTATTGTGCAGCTTTCGAAAAAAACAGCTTGAAACAATTTACAGAGAGCAATTTCTTCTCAATAAATAATAAAATGGTCGGTAAATAAGTAATGAAAGTACGTCATTGATAATATTGAGTTTTTTTTTATTATTATTTGTTTCGGTAGCTCAGTGAACTATTATTTCACTTTAAATAAAAAACCGAAGAACTTAACTGAATAATATTAAATGTGATATTTAAAAAAGATCGGTTGCTATGATAACAAAGTTATACCTTTTCAATACTTTCGTCATTCCGAGCAGTTTAAAACGGAGCTTGGTTTAAATAGTAATTTTATTTATGTACGATAATAGACTAGCATTGTAAACGACACCGAGCCACGCCGCGACAACAGCGCCACCAACGGAGAAACAACGCAACCTTCCCCTCCCCGCGCGGTGCGGGGTAGCGTACCCCCACTCTAAGGAATCTAATAAGATTCGCGATAGCGCGATTAATCAAATTGTACATAAGAAATCGATTTTGCGCAATAAAGCATGTTCTGCCTTCGAACGTTCTCCGAGTTTCTCCGAACCAAGTGTTTCACTTAGATACCTCTGCTACCTGCCCGCTTTGAAGCCAGCTACAGTCCATCTGCTACAAGCATAGTAGTAGTACAGTACACGGTGACGTCACCGCGGCGCTACCTGCGCGTGCGCGTCGAGGCAGGCGCGCGCGCGGATGACGTCACGCAGCGGGCGCGCGGCGGCGCCCCCCAGCGCGCGCGGGTCGTGCCCGCGCCGCCCCAGGGCGTCCGCCCCCAGCACGTGGCCCAGCGAAGTCTCCGCCCATAAACTGTCGCGTGAAGCGTAGGCTAACATTGTTTTTGCAAAGATGTATACTTTGAAAACATAGTGGCAACAATGTTAACAGACTATAAGTCAAATATAAAATAGAATAACACAATAAACAAGAAATGTAAAAAGCAAAGTGGATTAAATAAAGATAAAAATAATAGAATAAATAGTACAGTATGTAAAAAATAAAGAAACAAATGGAGGAAACAAAATGTAAAATAAGAACATGTACAATAAAAACTACACATGTACAAATAAAAATCCCAAACTCCTTATCCCACATCCCATAGAAAATAAGTTAAATAAATAAATTAAAAGTAGAATAGGATAAAGTAGTATCAAGGCGGGTAGTCTCCCCTTTAAAGTATGAAACACGATAAATGAATGTGTCGTTTGCAGTATGTCAGTGTGATGGGTAAAATTGCGAGAACTTGTATGCATGATAAACATGCGTAGGCGGGATGATAAATAGCTAGCCCAACCCATATTTTGTATAATAACGATATAAAATCTCCTTAGTATTTTACTCATTGGTTCATTAGCTGCCAGTGTTCCTAATTTCAAATCGATCGTATAGTTTTTCTTTTAAATATTGACATTTCAAAAAGCATTCTTTTGTTTTGTCTGCAAAATTTATAAAATTCAGCTACGAGCTGTGACAAAGTTTTTGCATTTAAAAGGATTAAAAGGTGGAGAGATTTTTTCGGAGATGAAGGATGTTTTGGGAGAAAATGCTCCTTCATATGCGACCATAAAAAATTAGGTGGCTGAATTTAAGCGTGGCCGCACCAGCAGCCAAGATGAACATCGTCCAGGACGTCCAAAAAGTGCCACTACTCCAGAAATTGTGATCAAAATTCATGATGCAGTTTTAGCTGACCGAAGATTGAAACTTTCCCAGATAGCTGATACTATAGGCATCTCTAAAGAACAAGCGCATTACATTTTGACTCAAGAATTATGTATGAAAAAATTATCCGCAAGGTGGGTGCCGCGATTGCTTACAGTTGACCAAAAACGCGTTCGTATGCAAATTTCATAAGAATGTTTGGACCGTTTTAAGAGCAATACAACTGATTTTCTGCGACGGTTTGTTACTACAGACGAGACTTGGGCTCACCACTATATACCTGAATCAAAAATTCAGTCTAAACAATGGACGGAAAAGAATCCCCGGCTCCAAAGAAAGCAAAAGCCGTGAAATCAGCGGGGAAAGTCATGGCGTCAGTATTTTGGGATTCGAAGGGTATATTGATGATTGATTACCTTCCAAAAGGACAAAACATAAATGGCTAATATTATGCTGATCTACTGGATAAATTACAAGTGTGTATTTGTGAAAAAAGACCCGGCCTGGCTAAATTATGATTTGCTACCACACCCAGCTTATTCTCCTGAGCTGGCACCATCTGACTTTCATCTATTCCCTAAGCTCAAAATTTTTTTAGGTGGACAAAGATTTGTAAATAATGGCGAGGTGATGTCTGCCGTGGCCAGTTATTTTGAAGGGCTTGAAGAAAACCACTTCAGGGATGGCATCAAGGCTTTAGAGCATAGATGGATGAAGTGCATAGCGCTTCAAGGAGACTATGTCGAAAAATAAATATACTTTTAACACACTAATTCAAGTTTTTCTATGCTAGGCTAGCTAGCTAGTATTTATCATCCCGCCCTCGTAGTATAACAAGGACCTGCTAAAAAGTGGGGACAAGTGTAGGTCCTGGACTGTATAGTAGGCCGGGTTATTAAAAACAGAAAACATTGTTTTTTAACCTAGAAATCTAGACAAGGACAGCTATTTATTAGATAACAAATTAAATATATCATAATTATTATATTTGATCAATCTTGCGTTCCCAATGCTATATTGGAAAATATTCTTAATAAAAATTGCGTAAAAAAGCCTCTTTACTCCCTGGCACTCTGTGATGGGACTTAAACCCGTGACTTTTCCCAATCCGGGCGACTGCTCCAACCACTGAACTCTGGGTAGTTCCTAAAATGAACTGACGAATTTCTTGAGCACTTGTTACCCTTCCTACCACAGAGCGTATTTTCATCAGTGTTCCTGCAATCCACCCATACAGCCGAAAGAATTATGGAAAATTCGTCAGTCCTGTTAGGTCCTGGGTAGCTCAATGGTTAGAGCAGTCATTTACGGATTGCGAACAGTCATGGATTTGAGTCAAAGGACAAAGTGGATTTTTTAAGCATTTTCATCATCAGCCCTTTTACGTCCCCACTGCAGGGGCTCAGGCCTTCCTTATGGATGGTTAAGGAGGATGGGCCATGACCCTCCACGCTGGCCCAATGCGGATTGGAGGGTATTAACGACTGCAAATGCATCCGGGACCAACGGCTTAACGTGCCTTCGGAAGCACGGAGTAGCTCGAGATAATAATTTTTTTGGTCACCCATCCCGTGACCGACCCTTGCGAAAGTTGCTTAAAGGTGATTTACCAGAGTTAAACTATGGTTGTTAGTCAGCAAATGTTATCATTTCAAATTATCCAAGTTTTGCGCAAGTAAGCTTTCTTCAAAAATGAACTGTAATCATTAAAAAAAATCGTGTTAAGTTGGAATGCCCAATAAATATGTTTCGTCGTGCAGCTCACATGATACCGTTGCAGTTGTCCGGCGCGATGCTCCTGTCCTCCTTGTAACAGCGTATGTCCACGTTGCTGTGCACATGTTTCAGTTCTTCCTTCGCACCATCAGCCATCTCTTGAGCCATCTACAGTCAACACGTAATTCAGCATCAACGAATTTTTCTAATCAGACAGTAAAAATCCAGACCCGAATTCGAATTGAGTAATCATGTGTCCGTATTCACGTTATTTAGTGTAGAAATTCTATTGATTACATTATTTGTATAAAAATACAAAACAAAATTGACTGAAATTAATTCAATTCAATTTATTCATTTCAAAGAACTTAGAAACATACTAATTTATATTAATATCTATTTCAGAAAGACATTTCAGAATAACATTATATTTTTATGTACTCAAATTTACATTTGTGTAGCATCTGTACTTGTATTACATTTATTTTTATTTATTTATTAAACTTTGACCCGTAATAAAAAAAAGGTACAAAAAGGCGGACTTAATGCTAATGGCATTCTCTCCCAGTCAACCTTTACGAAAAACGATAAACGCGATGGCGGCATTAAGAAAAGATTAAGTATGCATAGACATGCGTAGAATATAGAAATAGAAACTGACAAAAATATATATATATATATATATATACATACAATAGCACAAATATAGATACATAATATTGATGATGAATTTCACATATTTTTCATAAGAAAGGCATGAGCTTTACGTTTAAAAATAAATTTATTGGGAGATCTTCTTATGGGGTCAGGGAAACTATTCCACAGTCGTATGGCTTGGAGGGTAAAAGAGTCAAACATAAAGCCGGAATGAAAAAGAGGAGTAGAAAGTGAGAGTGTGTTAGAAGAACGGAGTTGTCGATCGTGGGAATCGCAAAGATACTGGAATTTACATTTTAAGTAATCAGGAGAATGTGGATTGGAGTGGATTTATAGATTAAATCTGAATCTCAAGCCCCAGTGCTCCTCCCTTTTTACACGATGATATTTTAGTACAATTTCATTTTAATTGGTTTTATCAAAAATTAATCATTATAATTAAATTAGTAATACGTGTCTCACATATTCTATTCCTATGTCATTTCGAAACTCACTTCACTTATGCTATGAAACGTTATAACCAATTCAATGTTGAGCGGATGCCGCTTTTTAAAGTGAATTCGGACACCTGAGTGAATTCGAATTGGTATTTGGATTTTTCACAGAATCGCAGGGCAGGGCAGATATTTGATAGTGCTCTATGCCATGTATTTCTTCATTTAAACATTTTCCGTTTTCGGTAACAGCGACTGGACCTGATAATGTATAATGTTACTATGAAGTTTATAATGCACGCCTTTTCTTTTTCATTAACTTCGAATTTGTCACTCTTGCCTGGACTTTATAGGGTAAGTATTAAAAAAATTGCTGTACGTTCATCCATTGTTGAGCTTAGTCCCAAGAAACAAAATGAGCAATCCATTTAAATTGATCATAAATGGAATGCATTTTTGAAACGATAAAATTTTTGTCGACATTCCATTAAAGTTAGTGTTGTGTACCTTCAGCGGCAGTACACCGGCCACGAAGCTGGAGCCGCGCACGGCTGTGACGTCACCGCGCTCCAACAAACTGACGTCACGGAAACCGCGCACCGGGGACACCTCCACGGTCACGTGACCACCGCCCTTCGGGAAATATCTAAACACAGATATAGAAATCTAAATAGCCAGCTTAACGAATTTACGGCTTCCAATCCCGCAATGCTCAGATCGTTCTTGTGCGATCGTGAAGGTGGGATTAGGCGGCATCGCGTGCACAGAGATTTGGGGTAGGGTATGCAGCATGTAGTCCGGGCCCTCCTTGCTGGATACCGGACTCATCCATTCGCGTGAGGTGAACCGCAGCGGGTTTTACCAGGTAGTGCTTCCACATTAACCTGCCCTTTTCAGGGCGGGGTGGAAGAGGAGCCCAGGTTTAAGGCTTAAGGTGCATTTCCCCTGCGTAAAAAAAAAGGCAGCATGTACCTATATTGACAAAAACTTACCAATTTTCACTATAGTTTCAGTACCTTCTAATGCGTCCAGGATGAGGAACATTTTATTGTTTTTGGTCACCATGAACATCGAAATGTAACTTATTTATAAGTTACTACAAAATTATTTTGCTTTATCGAAATAGTAAGAACTACTGAACTGTTAATACTTATTGTCTATTATTTTAGATATTGTTCACGTAAACAGTCAGTGGCCGATAAAACATTCGGTATTAATCTGGACAATCCTTTAATTTTTATAAATTAAATCAATGTGCCTATATATATTTTTTATATTTTATTCAGAAAAACGTCGTTAAAATTACAAGTTTGTTTTAAAAGTTAGTAACTCACTTGTATCAGAACTATTAGTTTTGCTCATTTATAAACTTAAGGAAATATGTTTGTATGTTAATTTTGAATGCTAGCCAATTATAACCATCATAATACTTGTAATTAAATGACGAGTAAATTATCTCTTTTTAGTTAAATCTAACCCAATATAAAAGTGATGAATTTTGTAACTAAATGAAAACATTATTTTATTTTATGAAAATGCAGGATTGAAATGTCTAGTCTTGCTAAAACCGAGATTGATTGCAAGCCTTATATTGTTTTATCTCTCAATATAAATATAATAGATAATATAATATAAATAACTATAAATACCTTTGTCGAATGAAAAAGAGATAATTATGCTAGTGTGGTTTATAAACACGTTAAAAAAAATAAGCACTAATTATTGCAAACTGCATAGGGCCAATAACTCTCGTTGAATTTTCTGGGATTTCATGATTTTTATGTGAGATGTTATTTATGTTTGACTTAATTTCTTTTGTGCGCAATTAATTCGAAATTAGGGATTTTGTATAGCAGTCCTCTTAATATAAGTATCAGTCATCATTGTAGCATACCCTCTCCTCCGTATATTAAGATGGAAGTCGGCGTTAAACCTCTTGAGCAGTGGCCTAAACACTATCGGCATGTAGTCAATCTGCGGCGCCATGTCCGCGTTGGTGCCACCCTTTAGGTCCAGCGTCACTGGACCGTCGGCCAACAAGGCGCAAGGCAACGCCACCTGCAGGAGCAAGCTGATCGCTCTGGTGCAACAAAAACATAATCATATAGAAGAAAATGACATGCATGCTGACTTCTGATAACCTCCAAACATTAAATCTTAAGATTATTGAAGAATATTAAACACGTATATATATTTTTTTTGCTTAATCAATAAATTACTGTGATAATACTAATCTTATATGGCGTTTGTTCCAATTAAAATGATTTTATCAGTGAAAATATGCATATTTTCTTGCGTCTACATAAAAAATTACAATATTATTGTAATCTTTATTTGTCTCCTTTTAAAGAAAAATCTTACCCAGCAGTATGTGTATCTGCTATGTAGTGGCCACCTCTAATTTTGCCGGGGGCAAAGTGAATTTCAGTAGATCCAATATTTGCTCCTTTTAGTTTTGCCCGACACATATCTGCGACTAATTGTATGCCTGTTAGAAAAGTATAATTTCATAATGTGTAGATTTGGACATCATCATAATACATATTTACACATCATAAGTACATATAATAATAACTTTTATATTATTGTTATATAAATGCAAAAAAGAAAAATGTTTTTGTTTGTTTTTATTTTTCTATTTTTGTTATTTTTGTTTTTCTTTAAATTATTTCTTTTTATTTTAATCTTTTTAGTTACAATTCGTTGATTTTGTTATAAGATGGTAAATTTCGCAATCAAGTTATTTCATTGAGGGAGTTAATATCGTGGGGATTATTAAGTAACTTGCGGTGCTCTAAACTCCTAATGATTAGGCCCTCTAGAGGCCAAACTGGGCTCAAAGCTACATATGCTTTATTTTTTTACCAAAAATATTTGTTCTTCATGCTCTTTCACTGTTTTTTTTTTGTATATCGTTTATACTTTAAATGTATGTTTAAAGTATAAACGATCTGTTTTCCGATTGGGTGTATCGGCCGACCCTATTGGGTGGTGCACCGTCAGGAACAGGCGGCCTGCAACTCTCACCAGTGGCTCCAAGTAGCTGCAGTGCTCGCAGCGGCCACATCCCGGTAAACCGCGTCGGCTAGCGAGCTAAACCTGGTTGAGGGGGACCTAACTGCTCCGGCAGAAAGGTTTGATGCGGACGCCTCCCGCATTAGTAGCACGAAGTCTGTCTCGGCGCAGAAGGCAACCCACGCTGATTAGCACCGGACCATGGCGGATGCGGCGAGACAGCAAGGCATTGTGGAAGGCCGCGGGCGACGATAGAGGTCAAAAGCAATTGTCGGCCAGACACTGCATCCATCCCTTCTCCAGTCGTGGCGGTTCTCCGTTCCACTGGATCAAGAAGGGTAAGGATGAGAGAGTGCATCTGTGTTTGCGCGTACACTTACGCACTCAAATATATCCTGCGCACTAGACTGCTTCCGAATAAACGGACTCCGATCTTCACAAAGACCTATGGCGATGGGAAGAGGTAGAGAGGCCTGGCGCGATGCACGCTGGGTTTTGTCTGATTCCCACACATGGGCGGTTCCGGGGGTGTGAGTTCTGCTTCGCCGTGGTCGCTTTTGTACTGCAAACTTGGACGACAGTGCGAATTCGGCAGCACCCGGGATGACAAAGCAGCCCTATTCAGGGAGGCACTGCTTTCCTCGCTCAGCCGGGGAGGGGGCTAGAAAAGGTGCTCCAAAAAATGCTCGTCCTTTTCTGGAAGGTGGTAGTAGCCGCGGCTGCCATCGCATCACTTTAAATCGTGGTCGACGCAAATACAATAATAGTAACAAGAAAGCACCTACCATGACCTTTGGTGCGTGGAACGTAAGAACGCTTATTGATCGAGACGGCAACGCCTGCCCTGAGCGTAAGACCGCTATAGTAGCTCGAGAACTCCAACGGTATGATGTGGATGTGGCTGCGCTCAGCGAAACACACCTTGCCGATGAAGGAGAGCTTGTGGAAGATGGTGGTGGTTACACCTACTTCTGGAAAGGTACCGCAACCTCCGAACCTCGGCGTTCAGGCGTAGGATTTGCCGTCAAGAACAATTTAGTAAAGCGTCTTGAAGAGTACCCGGTACATATCTCGGACCGCGTTTCCACACTGCGCCTCCACCTAGATAAAGACAACTACCTGAATGTCATCAGTGTCTATGCTCCAACGCTAGACAAGTCTGATGACATTAAGGACCAATTCTACGAGGAAATAACCCAATGCCTTGATAGCATAAACGCAAAAGAGCAAGTGCTACTACTGGGCGATTTCAATGCCAGGATTGGACGGGACTATGAGGCATGGCCTGGAGTTTTGGGTAGACACGGAGTCGGCAACATGAACAGCAATGGTCAGTTGCTACTCAGTCTCAGTGCTCAATACGAGCTGGCAATATCGAACACGATGTTCAGGCTTGCCGCTAAGCACAAAACTACGTGGATGCACCCAAGGTCCAAACACTGGCATCTGATTGACTACGCTATCGTACGGCAGAGAGACTTCAGTCAGGTGCAAATCACGCGGGTAATGCGTGGAACGCACTGTTGCACTGACCACCGGCTTATTGTTACGAAGCTGCGACTCCGCCTCCGACGACCCCGCAGACCCAAATTAAAAAAGCTTGCGTCACTCAACGTAGAAAGGCTGAAAGATCACGAGGTTAGGAAGGAGTATGCTGAAGCCCTGTCCGACAAACTACCGCCAGTTAACGATAGGGAAGATGTGAGTAAGGCTTGGAAGGCTTCGTCTTCTCGCATCTTGAAAGCCGCTGCGGTTACTTTAGGCGTAAGGAGCCGGCGTAACGAAGACTGGTTTGACGAGTACGACGAGGTTCTCAGGGCTACATTCGACAAACATCGAGACCTCTTGCGGCAACATAGACGACGAGGTGGAAGTAATAAGGTGGTCAAAGCTAGTGACCTTGAAATACGCAGGCTGTCTCGACAAATGAAAGACAAGTGGTGGCGGGATAGAGCTTGTCACATGCAGTGGCTCGCTGACACTAATCAGCTTGGGGAATTTTATTGTGAGGTGCGTAAACTGACCGGTACGTGCCGTCGAGCGAAGGTGCCTCTGCGATCAACAGATGGCGGAAGGCTGCTGACGAGCAAACAAGACGTACTGTCACGTTGGGCAGAACACTTTAATTCCCTGCTTAACGTAGATCGGACAGCTGATCTACAACACATCAGTTTAATGCCCCAACTTCCTCTAGTTAACGAGCTGGACGAGCCGCTGTCATGTGGCGAGGTTGTTGCTGCCATCAGACAGCAGAAAAATGAGCGGGCAGTTGGCACTGATCTTATACCGGGGGAGCTGCTAAAGTACGGCGGTAACGAGTTGCATGCTCATATTTGGCACCTGTTTGTTCGCATGTGGGAGGAAGAGCGAGTCCCGGATGACTTTAAAGTGTCCCGCATCCAAGCTCTCTACAAGAACAAGGGTGACCGTTCTGACTGCGACTCCTACCGTGGCATTTCGCTCCTGTCAGTACCTGGAAAGACTTTTGCCAGAACACTGCTAAACCGCTTAACTGACTTGTCTGAAAAGATCCTGCCCGAGACACAATTCGGCTTCCGTCCTGACCGAGGAACCTGTGAAGCTATATTTTCTGTGCGCCAACTGCAGGAAAAAAGCAGAGAACAAGGTCGTCACCTATACCTCTGCTTTGTTGACTACTAAAAAACTACTTAGAAATCCACCAGCCGCATGTACCCGGACATCGTAGATTGAATGAAAATTATGAAAATACACTCATTGTTAGCAAAAAGTATGAACTGATTAAAATTTTATCAGTACTCTTAGGTCCTGGGTAGCTCAGTGGTTAGGGCAGTCAATTTTTTTAAGCATTTTTCGTTAAGAATATAGTTATACTGAACCAATAGGTACGACTAATACCAATGACTGATCGATTAATGCCAAAAATGTAAACATTATAATATATAAAGCAAGATATGATTACTTATATTTTACCTTTTAAATGTTGTGCAGCGAGTCCTGGCTTACTCCGCCCTGCCCTTATATTGAAGACACGTACCGGTACACCCAGAATAGCACTTAGAGAAATGGAAATTCGGAGAATTTGTCCTCCCTACAATCATAAGAATTATAATTAAGATTTAGTCATATTTCATGAGGTATAGTTGTTTCTAGATAATAACATACCCCTTCTAAAACACTTCCATCGATATCCATATACTCGGTCATTTTATGATTAGTTTTGGATTTATAAATTATTTTTAAACCGGGCGGCAACCAAAAACTATTTAATTCGATTCGATGACAGCCGAGTCTGACAATGTTTTGATGTCAACATTACTTTTTTTTTATTAATGGTTTTACGGCTTTGGAAGTATCCATACAGCCCTTCTTTATTTGTCAACACTACCGGAAAGAACCAGTGATGCGACTCAGTCTTATTTTTTCTCGAGCCACTCAAGTGAATTTTTCATACTCGTACTAAATTAATCTGTATAATCTGTGCTCGTTGAGTACGAAAAAAATATCACTGGCGTCTCTATACACTCGAGTTACCGAGTCAACTCGGCACATCGAGTTCATTTCCTTTACCAGTAGATGTCATTTGCTACTCTAATTTATTATTATCACTGCTTATTTTTTTTTTATTTTCTTGGTAACTTTAATAAATAATATTATGTATGTATTTGTTGAAAATTACTAAGTGAAATCTCACTCTAGTAGCACGCTTGAAATTTTCTTACTTGAGGCACTCGAAAACTTGAGTGTGACTCGAAGGAAATAGTTGATTGTCTCAAGTGCCTCGAGTCACAAAATCCTACTTAAGTGCGTCACCAGATAGAACTTAATTTCCTTGATGTTTCTTTTCAGACAAAGTGAACTCTTTAAACTTTGTAGGACATTGAGTTAGATTTGTATTGTAAATCTATTTCATTTCATGTTTTACAATATTTCACTTCACCTTTGAATTTGTATCTATTATCGTCGTAAAGTACGATTTATAAAATATGAGGTGATATTATACCTCATAAGACCACAAATATACAAAAAAATATTATTGGTCCAAGTTAAATGTAAAAAGTATAGTGATTGAAATGATATATTTGCAATGGAGCTGTACGTGTAAAATTCATTGGCTTCCGAATTTTACGAATAAACCACTAAAAAAAAAACTACTTACGCGCAAAATGTCAATACTTGTTGATTTCCAAAGATATTGCAAATTATTTCTAAATAATTTACTCTGAAATATTAAGCATTTGTGTGTTCATAAACGTTTTAGACAACGGACAAAAACCTTTGATAATTTATGAGATGATTTTTTCTGTACACTGAATACCTACTAGGTTCCAACTAACAAAAATGCAGAGAAAACCAGGCTTTCCTGTTGCGAATTGTGCCATCAAAATGGTAATTATCCGATATCAATATATTACTTTTCGCAAGTTGCTTTAGGTTATTAAGGTGTGCGTGTTTATGTTCATACAACTGAAGAATTATGTATAATTTAATAGCTTGTTACGGAATTGAGCTTCAATACAAATTAGCGGCTTCTGCTTTTGTTATTGTTTATGTTTTTTCGTATTCGATTTTAAAATGCCTGTGAGAAAAGAAAAAAAATATTAAAGATTAACCACGAATTTGGAAGTATGACGAATTTATAAGATAACCTCTTGAAAAAAAAGTGGCCTTTAGATTGTATTTAAGTATAAAAGAGATCAATCATAGAATTTTGTACATGTGCCTTGTATGTTATAGCCAGAGAACGGAAACCCATCTACTTCAGAATTGACACACACACATTGTGAAGATGATGCTGAGCAGCACCAACGGAGACAGCAGCTCATTAATTTTGGCCATTCACAGTGGGGCTTTAACAATTGGAACTGGTCACTCACTAAGCAAGAGCTGGGTTAGTCACGATCCAAAAAAATAATGAACTATTTTTTTTGTTCTTTATACTTAACCAGTGACTTTGCCTGTTTAGTCCTTAAGGAACTGTTTAGTGAGAAAAAGAGCAGTCTACATGTTTATCTAAGTTGAGAATTATCCATATATCAAATTTCATAAAAGTAGTTTTTTGCATGAAAAAGTAATAAATATTCACCTTCACTGAGATTTTATTAAGATTGTTAGACATTATTAAGATGTTTCAATGATTTATTTATACTAATAAATAGATGATTTTATGGGATATAAGGAACTAAAGAATTACAGCCTGTTAATGGGTAATTGTTTTTATATAATCATCTGAAATAGTTAGTCCTGAGAAGTTAAAACTCAGCATAAATGGTTACATTGTAAATGTTACCTAAATATCTGTTAATAGTTTAATTTAATTAACATTGTTAATTGAAATAAATAATTATTATATCATAATTTTTGGAAATTTGATGTGATTCTGATAGATATTAGGATTATTGTTAGTGATTTTGTTGTTTTCAGATTTTGTGGATTTTTCAAATGGGAAGTATTGTGCAGGAGTGGCTGCATATGTGTCCATCACAGTTAAGACATTAGATATCCACAGGGAGAATATAGGATATGCAACATCATTCGCCACCAATAAGGGCTTTGCCATATACAAATCAAGAAAGGTATCTAGTTATTATATTTAATATGCACTCACTAATTTATGTTATAGAAAAATACTGATTTTAATTTTTTAATGATAGCAGTTTATTAAAACTATGAGTTTTTGCCAGGTGAAATGTGAAAACTAATTTATTGAGAATAAGCAGTTGAGATTTTGTACTTTTCTCAATTTAGAAACCGACTGTTAGTTTTCTTATTTTAGTCTATGTTTTGTGCGGGTCAGCTGAATTTTCAAGTTCACCAGCTCTAACAGAAGGGCCAATATCATCACTAAATCAATTTTAACAATTATATTCAATTTATGTGTAATATGAGAGGGTGTTGTTATTTAAAATCGCTCGGAATGTCGATTTCAGGGCGCCGTGACGAACGCCTTGCGCGAAACACTACTCAGTTTTGGCGGCAGCGTCGCCACCGACCTCATGGGCCTCCACGAGCAGGAACCGACGCGCGGGGACGTCGCGCCCGATCCTCAACCGGATCCCGCTCCCGTAGCCCTACCCGCCCCCGCGCCCGTGCCCGCCCCCGCTCCCATCAAACCCGAACCCAAGCCGTCGCCCCCCGCGCGCGCCCCGCCCGCCCTCCGCAAGGAGATGGAGTCGCGCGCGGCCCACGGCGCCCCGCTGGTGGCGGTGCCGGTGGCGAAGGCGCACCCGATGCCGGCGGCGCTGCCCCCCGCGCGCGCGCCCCCGCGCCCGCCCGCGCCCCCGCACCTGCCCCCCGCGCCCCCGCACATGCAGCCCCCCGCGCCCGCGCCTCCGCCGCCCGCGCCCCCGCAGCTGCGCCCCAACTCGAACGTGAGTTTCGTGCTGCAGCCGGTGATGCCGCCGCTGTACGGGCCCCCGCGGCTGGCGCCCCCGCACGCGGGCGGCCCGCACGTGTTCCCGAACGCGTACTACGAGTGCTCGGGCCCGTGGCACTTCTACGAGAGCTACGAGCGGGCGCCGGGCAACGTGAACCTGAACTTCAACCTGCCGCCCAAGAGCCTGGTGGTGAACGGCCGCGGCGGCTCCGTCGAGTGCCGCGCCGCGTGTCGGGAAGGTGAGCTGCCGTACCCGCCGCAGCCGCAGGGCTGCTGGATCAAGCCGACCATCTTCTACGACGGGTTCTGGACCGAGCAGAAGGTGAAGAAGTGGGTCGCCGAGCAGGTCGAGAAGCAGTTCCCGGAGGACGCGGCGCCGGAGCCCTCGCCCGCCCCGCCGGACCACCCGAAGCCCTGATCTCGAGGTGGGGTCGCGGTAGTTTGACGTGTATCGACGGCGTCCGCCAGGTACGTTTCGAATATACTATGTCCGTGCAAACTTTTCCCGTGAACGCGTCCCCTGAAGACTTCCGGAACTCGCCCCGACGGAATCGTCACGGCTTCGCTTCGAGCGGATTCTGTAGACGGCTCGAGTTGCATCCGCTTCTTGATCTCTAGGTAAACTATCGTGCGAGCGCAGTGTGTAATCGCTGAAATGTATTATTATATATTTAGAACGGTTCGAAGATGTAAATTAGAAATCTCAAAAATTTTACACTATTTTTTAAAGATTTTTTCGAGTTCCTAGATTAAGTGTTAACGAATAGAGTACGTAGGTTAGTGTCGGGCGGGGCGTTGGGGCCGTGATGGTAATATAAGAAAATGTTCTCATTATAATATAATTTTATTAGTGGCACCATAACAAACTATATCACGTCATAATGTTGTATTTCGAAAATCTACTAAAATTTTAATCATTACACTTGATACCACATAATATTAAAGCTACTTTCGATTTTTTTATTTAAAGCTAGTAATATATAAATTATTCCTGTAATATGAAATAGAGTAATCGAATGGCATTTTTACTTGTTAAGAGTCCGCATAATGTTATTGACCATTTAAAATATTCTATTAAGAAAGCAAGAAAATATCGGGAGAGGTATACGCGATGGCTTACTGGACGAAATTAAGGCCCATAAATTAACTGATAACTTTATGATTACACATTTTATTTACTTGGAATTTCAATATTGTTAAACTTGCAATGTAACAGCAATTTTATCAAGAAAATTTTATTAATTACATTTTGACCCTGTCTCTGTTTAATGATGTAGAAACATGTATCTTATTTTGAATTAGAGACCCACCTATAAACAGCTAATTTATACGAATTCTATGAATTATTGTTCAAATTTCACGAATTGTAAATTTACAATAAATATTATGTTGGTGATTTTCGTTATGCGCCCTCTTAATAACTCGGTAACACTAGTCGATGACAACGTGCGGCGTGCGGGTGATTTCTGTAGCTTTCTTTCATTGGTCGGTCATTGTTTTATTGAATTAACGAGAAGAGTTGTAGAGAGCACCCGCACTTCGCATGCTGACCTCATCGACCAGTGTAACTGAGCCATAAGTGTTAATAAACTTCGCTATGTCACCTCTCAGATAAGGCATTCGTGGATGAAGTAAAAGATGGATTTTATACTATAGTTATACTGTCAAGCATTTTTACATTTGTTACTATTTTTAAGGTTTTTGCACCTCAATAGATTAATCCGTTAAGAATAGTCTGAACTGTTAATCTCAAACAGTTATAATTTCTATTAATAATTATTATTATATAAAATTTTTGGTATAAACAAGTATCATTGGGCCTCCAAGATCATAATAAGTCAAACTTTAGGATATATTATTTTTATATCTAATGTGAGTTGACATAAAAAAGTACTTTATTTTTATTTTAAATGGATGTTTTCCAATAATTGAGAAAATAATACAGTTTGGCTGTTTATGTCTTTTTATGTCATTTGGGGTTGAGTGCGTTTTTCTGTTTGAAAAATAGGTTACATAAAAGAATGTGAGTCAGGCACGGTATTTTGTTATAAAAACAGCATCGACCTCAAGCGCAGCCTGTCACAGCATAGAGGTGCAATCTAATAAAAGTTACAAAAATATAATTAAAGTTTTCGTAAAATTGAACCCCGTTGCTCTGACAGCGATGTGCTTGACGTCCAGTTCGAGGCTGTTTTTATAAAACAGTGTAGTTCATTGTTAAGTATTTAAGTGAGCATCGTATGCTGTGTCTGAAGAACTTTTTTTTTTAATATTTTTTTCTTAAAAAGTTGACATTAACCTCTACGCACTCTCTGCCTACATGATCGAGTTGTTTTTGACCAAATTTTGTTATTTCTCGTATTTTATGTCATCTTAACGTTTAAATATTTTACTTTTGACGCATTATAGGAATTGGTTAAATGTGATGTTAGATCTATATTAAAGGAATTGCTATGTACATTTGGTACCTATCTAAGTAATTTTAGAATATGAATATGTGTGAATTATGCAGTACCTTCCCTGTTTTTATTATAAATAAAATTGTTTGAAATTATAACATGTTTACATTGCCATCCAATTAATTACCTATTTCGGTCATCAAGTATTTTCTTTCAATAATTTAGTTTTTATTACAGTTGATTTTTGTATTTTTTCCTTTTTAATTGCACATCTTTTGTTTCATCCACTAAAACCCTTTATATTTTTTTTTGTATTAAATTAACAACTATCACAAGCGAGAAACACACGTTTCGTGTTTCCGTAGGAACGTTGCTTAGGTATTGAAATTTAAGATCTTTTTTTTTCGTTGTTTTTCAGTCTTACTCTTATTGTTCTTTTAATTTATCGAAATTTATCTTTTTAAGGTTTCAGTCGAAGTATTAGTAAATATTTTTAACTCAGTCAAAATCAAACTATTAACTGATAGTTTTCACATTGATACCTCTTATAGTTTAATTTTACATTAATATTTCTGCTGGAACCTAGATCGAATCTGGGACCCAAGAGATGTACCTACCTACAAGTTATTATCCACGCTGACATTATACCTAAATACGAAATTAGTTTGTAGTTACTTTCACAGCCAACAATTATGAAATCTTATATAGCGATTATGTGAGGCCTGGAGAGACATTTAATTGCTATAATTTTTTTTTCAAATCATGGGCTCTCGGAACGCCTACGATATATTAACTAAAATAGCATTTACAGTGTCGCGGGTAACTTATCGCACACCTAGATCTAAACTAAGACAACTCAAAAAACTAATGTGGAGTTCTGACAATACATTTGTTTACGTGGCAGGAGCGTGACCACTATTGATTCAAAAAAAGAAAGCTAAAGTTATTTAGCGGCTCATCCCTGAACCTTTATTGAATATGTTATGTTGGATAGATGCGTATGATGAGCGAGTATTTGAATATTGTACTAAGTCAAATCTCACTAAAATTTTTGAGTTGTCTCAGTTTAGATTTAGGTGTGCGATATTTTATTTATAAATTCGAAACCTCGTAATCAATCAACTTAATATTACATAGATACGTATTCTTTGTAAGGGGATATAGTAGGTATCACGTTACCGGAACATTAATAAATATTACCCACTCATTCCTCTGCTTACGGAATATAGCTGACAACCACATTTGGTTTACACATTGTCATCAATATAATCCACCATTATAACAGTGCTTACGTAATGCTCGACCGACCTCATTCAGGGGATGGATAGGATACTACGACATCTTGACGATGTTTTTTTTATTATTATTTATTGGACAAACAACAAGACATTCACTTAAATTGTTACTTTAGTTACTTGCATGTTCATATATTGAAGTGAACTCCCAATTATAGGTTGCCACGGCAAGCTTCATAAGAAAATAGGATTAAAAAAAAGAATATGGGCATGCAAATTACTTAGCAAGCTTATGTCATACATGACAACAGCATAGTTCTACGACATTTTGTCTTGGATTCAAATCTAATTCACTAATGCTGTTGCCATGTTATGGCGATATTTTGTTTTATTTCACTACTTTGACATATAATTTAATAACGACGAACGAATGATAATGAATGGTGATTATGGAGTCGACAACAGTGTTACCAACGTAGTAATTTATCCCAAGTTTAGTCTAATAAAAGATATGATTTTACGTTAGTCTGCAAAACTTAATATGTCAGGGCTCCTGGATTTTGAAATGAAGAGTTTATATAGGGCATATTCAGTGTTATTTAATTTTCTAACAGGAGGCGGTTGTATCGGGTGACGCGAGCGAGGAGGCGCGCGCCGAACGTAAACGCAGACAGCGGCAGGCGCAAGAGGAGTTCCGGCAACGTCAGTTATTGAAACAGAAGGCGGGGCTCGGTTAGCATGAATATACTTTTAACAGAGACATATAATCTCGATCGATGTTTACATTCAATAATTCAGGGATAAAAGTTACGTATTGCCATTTTAATCGTTTTTAAAAAGGCCCATGTATGATGAAATAATAAAAAAAATATGATAGCAACCATAATATTCAATCCTTGGTAACAATCAGTCAGTTGCAAAACGTCCATTAAATTTTTCATTAGTTTAAAGCAACATTACCCATACAAGTTTGACATTCATTAGAGCTTAAATGCGTCATTAAACCTAAATGGACGTTTGAGCAACTGACCGAATGTTAAGAGTTATCAGGATTACATTGTTAACTATATCTGCGTTATATATCTCGGCGAATATCAGACAAAAGAATCCCACCAAACAAAAGTTGCATTGTGATTACGATATTTTTGATCTGTAATACTATTTTTTTAGTAATATTTTAGCGTAGAGTTCAAAATAAAAAGAACGTATAATTAGGAATAGTTTTGTTCGTTATTTAGTTTCGTAACGCAAGCAATTGTTTCGGTTAGTTCGATAGATAAACTTTAATATTTACAAAAAGGGCAAATACAAGAATATAATTCAACTATGTCACAAAAACAATGTTGAAGTCCATATTTAAAAAAAAAAATTTTGATTAATGTATTGAATAGAATAAATGCCCTTGCATGATTTTTCTTTGCTGACGACCTAGTTCGTGAAAGTTGGAATATCTGAATTAGCGTTTACTAATATTATCAGCGGCATCAGCGAATATAATCTAATATCATAATATCTAGGCATGTTTGTTCGCAAAATTTTATTTTGCTTTAAAAAGATAAATCTGTTATGACTGATTTATTAAAATTAAATTGAAAAAGAATTACATTCACAAATAATACGACCTTATTCGGATAATTTAAAGAACTACAAGTATCACGATCAGTTGCACAAACGTCCATTAAGGTTTAATGACGCCTTTAAGCTCTAATGAATGTCAGATTTGTATGGGTAATGTAGCTTTAAATTTTTGATAATTTTAATGGATGTTTGTGCAACGGGCTGTTATTCTTTTACAATGAATTTGTTGTATCTTTATATATCATGTATATATCTTAACCAGGCCATGGTATTGGAATCTCTCCGTTTGACGACATATATGTACAGTACCTACACATAACAGCAAGTCAGCTTAATAGAAAAGGTCACTGTAAGTTATTTCGAACTAACTGACAACAAATTAAAGCTTAAAATCAGTTGGAGATTTCCTTTTATGTGACAATTGCCTGCAATTTGAGTGGATCGTGAGTACCATATATAATACAAAATATACAAATATATATGATACGGTAGTAACTATGTAACTGATCAATTATAATTAGGTATAAAATATGGGACCAAATATAAATGGTGATATAAATGGTTTTTGAACATAAAAATGATTGTTTTTTAGACCTAGAAAAGTATTTGGTTATTTAAGCATCACTATTTGTTATTTACACACTTTATTCAATATTTTTTGTACGTACGTTTTCTTATTAAAGTTGTTTGCTTTTTATTGTTTCTTTTTAATTTATTTTGCATATATACAATGAATAATAATCACACGCATATATTATATGTTAAAAGCACAAGCCTGAGTATATTATATTATATAGCAGTAAATATTTATTTTCTCTATTTTTCTTCATACTCGCAACGAATATTATCGAAATAATTTTATAAAAACATGCATTATATGCGTGTTTTAGTGTTAAGCAGGGGCTGTGAAGGAAACGTGTACTAGTTAACTCTTTTTTTATTCCGAGGTAATAATACAACTCAAAAGGTAGGTTTAAAAAGTAATATTAGGGTTGAGCTGCATCTGGTAATACGTTAATCTACTCTTTCCGTTGCCCTATCTTTTTCTGTTGAACAGCCTTTTGCTAAAGTGAGAAAGATACAGTTTTGCCTATCTCCACGAGTATTCCGTGCTATCGCATTTGGAATACGGAATCCCCTCCTAGTCGTTCTGAACGACTAAAAGGATAGGGTAGATAGAAGGTAAAAAGCGCGTTAGGCCAGATGTAGCTCTGCACTTACAAATAACAAAATTATTAATTTGGTTATTTGTAAGTGCAGAGCTACTTGATTCATTACTGGATATTGCTGTGAGACTCTTGAACTTTGAAATGGATTTTCGACTTATTCATTCCCTAATTTATCAGTTCCTGCCGATTTACATTACAATGATACGCAATTCTGAAACTACAGAGGTTCGCAGCCTGTACGTCTCTCCTCGGTGATGGATGACAGTTGTAAATTTACGAATTGATAAATTTCTTGGGCGTATTGTTGTTATCAGTCAAAATGCGATGTCCTAAATGGGTCCAAAAAGCTTATTTCGATAAAGATAATAATTTTTCTTTAAGATTAATAAAAATATTTTCATTGTATCTGTTGAAATCTCATGGTAGAATTTATTTTATATAGAATTTATTGTATTGTATGTAGAATCATCACTCTACAATAAATCATACCATGAGATTTCAACAGATATCAAATTTAAAAAAAAAATGGATGGATGTGGTAATATCGTTGACTCAGGAGTTAATCTTTGAAGGAGCTCGTTGGTGCAAATATTTACCGCGTTCGGTATACTATATGGAAATTAAGCAACTTTTGCAAATACTGATCATAGGATGGGTAACAAAAAAAAATATCTAAAATTTCGAGATCTGATGAATCTTTATGTTAAACTAATAAAATGTACACTAAACCTTGTCTCCAGATGAAAAGCAGGAGCTGCACAAAACTGGCAACAGTTTTGACAAGTTGCTGATGGAGATACCCACTCAGGACATAGTGATCGAGGAGACGGGAGCGACGGCAGGCGAGCAGACCACCGCTAAAAGGAGTTCCCCTTTACCTGAAGGGAACGCGGTCAAGAGGCGAGCCAGCTTCATCAACAGGCTGGATATAGTGGAGACTGACTGAACATTACCGTGCAACGTCACGGTTTCACTCAACCGTTAATAGATGTCGCTAGTGTTTTAATCTGATGATTTTTCTTTATTAATGTCTTGCTTTTTGCAACTTCGTCCTCTTGTCACCCGCATATGATGTAGCTTGGTGAAAGAAATTTTAAATCTGACCAGTAGTTTCAGAGCCTATTCAATGCAAATAATTATTTTGTTTATAAGTGTAGATTAAATGCATATCTATTAGTCGACACATGCCAATTTTTTATCGCTATGTGCTGCATTTGAATTATTTTACATTTTAAAATGCCTTTACGTCATACGTGTCCTTTGAACAGCTAAAGATGTTAAGAATTTGTACTAAAATATGTATTTGAATATACATAGTCTATAATATGGATAAGCTTTAATAGGAAATAAATTATTCAATTTGGCACACTAACGTCATCTATTGACAGTCAAAATGATTGAATCTGTGACGTCACACCTCAAGGACACATTGGAATGTCACAAATAGTACACACAACAGCACGTCAAGTTCAAACAATATGTCAATATGAGAAAAATGAAAACTTTTCATAAATATATGTCCTGTTGATTGTACATCAAGTTACTACTAGTTAATAGTTAATTAAATAAATTGATTCTTTGTAAACTTGACGTGCTGTCGACCGTACGCTATAAACGTAATTAGTTTACTAATGATGAGTTAGGTTTGTATATAAAATAAACAATGAAACTAGTGAAATCCAATTTTATTATAATAATCACTAACAAATTACTTACACAGGACAAGACTATATACACAAGATGAAGGGAACACTACAATACTAATTCTTATTGTACTCAGGTAAAGAAAACTTAAAAAGACACCTTCGAATTAAAGAAAATTATAATTAAAAAAAAAACTTACGCACTAAGGCTGATTAAAATCAATTCACAAGTTCAACTGGTATTCATTATAACGGTATATTTAAATTAAGCTCTATATCTAGTCAAGTAGCACTTACGTAGCGTACGAGGGAGATTTGAACATAGATTAATTACAGCTAGAGCGGGGAAGCCAGGCCTCCGAAGCTCGGTTAGAAAGAGAGCGAACATTGCGTTAACCTGAAGGTATCTCTACTCGTGAGGTACCATACCAGAATACAAGAAGGGAGAATGTAATTGTTCTTTTTCTAACCAAGGGACGTTTCTGTTTACAGTGTGAGAGTTCCCTACATAATAATACTCCTACGGATTCTAACTCGCAAGCTTTGAGCATGCGCACGCTCACGTAACTTAAAATTGGTGCGCAAAAAATATCCGATTTAGAATTTCTGATACCGTCATATGACGACCGCATTAAGTCTGCATAAAGCGCATCGCAGCTAAATTAAAGTAACGCTATATACATAATTTAAAAAATGATAACATTACTTTTAATATTATTAAAAGAACTGCTTCTATTTAATGATTATGTCGTATAATCAATTTGAATGTATGATGCTTTTTTAGAAAATTATAATAACTCTCAAGTTTACATAGATTTTAGTTTTATCATTAAGCTAATACAGGAGTAAAGTGTTAGTGAGTTAAATTATTATATTTAAGTTCAAATATCAAAATAATATAGACCATTGTTCAACAATAGATTAGCAGAAGCAGTCCTTATTCATTTACATATACCTATTTGACAATAAACAATGAAATAAATTCTATCATCTTCATGATTTTATAAATCAATAGAAAACAATTTTCTTTCATTAAATAATATTCTAGACGAACCAATACACACACGCACATCTACTCATTTACACATTATTTAATGATGATAATATATTTTTCGTTATATGTAAAAAAAAAAAATAAAGAACATTATTTTCTTTTTAAATAAGATCTAACGAAAAAGTTCTCAGTTATTAAGAAGCCATTTTGTGCAAAATTATAGATGTGCGTTCCAAACACCACCATCCTCTTTGGAGTAGAGTAGTTTCAGTTTTAAAACACTTATTTTAAAAATAATAAAGTTTGCGAGTCAAAATCTAAACCAATATCACGCAAAAATATATTTTCCGTAATAAAAACCAACTGCAGTTCACGCAAGAAGATAACTTTGTAGTCCATCAAAAGAACTACCCAATTGGTGATGACGTTAACGACAATAAAATCGAGTATAAACTAAGGAAGTACGTATTTTTAGATTAGGTTCGTTCATACAGGATCATTCTAAAACAACAATGCAGTCTTGGTAATATGCCCAGTGAAACAAAAAAGGTTAATCAAAAATAGTCCACTAGACACAAAAACTATGGAAAATGAAACACAGAAAAAAGACATTTAGTCGTATGAATAACATATCTTTTTTATGTCAATGGCCACTTTCGAATCCTGCATCGCGCTTCAAAATTAATTTAGAATTATTAGCGACTTTTTATTTTAAACTCAACACAAATCATCTCCATATGTTAATATAAGAATATTTTATGTATAGGAAGCTGCTATAATTTAAAGAATATACATTCATGTTAAAAAAACTACATGTTCATTAGTATAGAATCATTAAATAATTTGTACCAAATAAAGTACCTATTTAGATTTTCTTATTTTGTGTTTCTTTCAGTTTAATACAATATTATATTCATGTCACACACCAAACCCATAAATTTAATTTAAACCTACAAATATTTACTATATACAAAAAAAAATGTATATAGTAAAACATTATTATTTACAGACAACTAAAATGTTTCTATTGAGTAATACAGTTTCCAGATGATTATGAATTATACTTTTTATCATATTCATATAAATATAAACTAATTTGATTTGATACACAATTCCACAACGCTATCACTGAAACATATTTCCATTATACATTTTAGTATATTATATATATGTATCTACATAAATAAGTTATACAACTGTGTATAAAAGTATAGATTATATTAAGACAAACATACAAGAGTTTAGTTTGGTAATAATATAACTCTGTGTGCACTATTACAATATGCAGTACTTTGCTTTTAACAGACTACCATTATAGCAAACTACATTGGATATTATGAGTATATTATAAAAAACTACATGAATAAATGTTATAACCCTATTCTGAAACAATTACATGATCTGAGTGAATGTAACAATACAATATCTTACTTTTCTACCCTCTAAGTAAACTGTTTAACTCAACGTTACCAGGCAATTAAACTTCAGTTATGGGTTTTGAATTTAGACCACCATGGTACAGTACAAAAATAATTTATATAGTCCTCTATATCATTTACATGAATATTCATATAACGTTTTGAGTAAGGTCTTTACGCGGCGCTGTTTCGACCTATTTTGAATATCAATATATTCCAGTCCACCTATTCACAGTCAGTATTTCTATAGATGAACACATTAATCTCACTGAATTCAAATGATGAAACATAAAATAATTTTCAGTAAACTAAGAACGGACATATGTTTTGAAATCAAACTATTGTCTGTACTCGTACAGGAATATACCTACCTAATATTTATTGCACACAAGACTGGTTGCGAAAGTTTCAAAACTACAAAAAATTAATAAGTAATTGGTGTTGTAAATATCAAGGATGTTAAAGATATACCGTACATCTGAAATCTAAGTATAGTGTCTTGGGTAAGTATAGGTATAAAAAATTATACCAACGCCTTTCTTTCAACTAGGAACATATTGAAATGTCTTTCATACACTCGTATCTATAGCCCAGTTAGAAATGATTTCTTGAAATTAATAACCATTTTTTTTATTAACAATCTCGAAAGTTAGAATATTATCATTATTAGCTATTGGCAATTCTTTTTTAATTCAAATTGCCAGCTAACCTGTCTATCTGTATCACATATTTTAACCGATATTGAACAGATAGACAGGTATCTGTTCAATATTGGTTAAAATATGTGCTTGAGATATTACTTTTACTAAAGTAATTACTAATTTTCGACCATAGATATGAGTGTTAGGAATTAAAAACTATTTAGTGAGCTATCGTTATACTTTCAGTGATGCTAATATATATAATTATTTATAACGATTACTCGGCTAATAATTAATTTGTTATTATGTAGTACATAAAAAAGACAATTAGAAACATGCAGACAATTCGATATAATCTTGTAAAATCGATGTCACGTACTAATAATAATAGTAGGTAAAATCTTTAATTACGTAATTTATATCTGTTAATATTATGAAAATAATGATTTTGATTTAGGCACATATTTTTCTGCTTCACATTAATGAATTATTGCTGATTTAGATTATGTTATAGCTAATTTTAATAAACAAGTTATTCTCACTCTGCCTTCGTACTTCTCTAGTAACCGATAAGCTTACTTGTGATATAATAAGTTTTTATATATATATATAAGTAATAATGTGCGGGATACCAGCAGCAAGTTCTCACGGCGGTTAGATTAGGCGAATAGATCCAATAGATCGTTTTCTTTATATTACGAAATTTAATAAGGTACATTTATTAAATTCTGATTTAATATATGTACCTTATTAAATTTCGTTCGGTTTTCGGCTCATTTATATTGCAAAAATCTAAATATTATATGTACTGAGTTTCAGGTAAAGGTTGTTATGATGTTGACAAATCTGTGTGAATTAAACTATAATCGATGTTAGTATCGGTAGCTGCGGATTTATTTTATTAAAGACCCGGCACATCGCCTTATAAAACCTTAATATTATAATATATACTTCTAGTATAGTACAATTGGATTAAAAGTGACAAATCTATTAAAATTGTACCAATTTGTAATTTTCTTAATGAATGTATCATACATTTAAAGTGTCACGAACACGCTTCATATAATCCAACAAGGATTCAAATTAATCCATATGACCAGTTTTCAAATAACATTTAAATATAAACTTTATGCGCTTGAGATAAAACTGAAAATAGAACGAGCCACTGTAGCAATTGACGCTCGATTTAAATACTATATATAATTCTATCTGGAGATGATTGCAAAATATTTATATATCATTGGAAAATCTATAACGAGCCTTTTAGTTAGTATTGTATTCAAGCTGCTACCTGATCAATCCCAGCCAAAGTAAAGGAATTTTCATTACAGCTTCTATATGAATGAAGTCTCCTACATCAGAATTCTGACTATTGGCCATATATGGTGGAGATTTTATATAAACAATTATAAAATTAGTTTACTTCGTCTCCTCCATCGCCTTCAATGAAGATTGATGTGTATTAGATTCATTTCTGTTTGATTAAATATATATCAATAAGAAGACATTAGATTTTCTCTGATAACTAATATTACTGACTCTGTTGAATTATTTAAATATAATAGAATATGGAGTCAGCGTGTTCCTTCCTTACGATCCTTGTTGTATATATGATTCATGTGTTATGGTTTACAGAATATTGACAAAGCTAATTGCAATCTACGAATACATACTCGTAGCTCAGATGTGTTGTCAGGATAAGATGCTGCCCATCGATGTAATGGATAGTCTAGAAAAATACAAAAATCTAATTGGCACTTGATCATAATTTTTCTGTAGCTCAAACTAGAATAAATGTGGGTTGTCTTATCAAACCGTTTTAATAGTATACGAATTTTGTAAATATTTAAAAATATATATTAAAGAAATTATCATTCATATAATAAGTTAAAATCTAAAAATAAGTTTAATTTTCGAAATATATTTTCGTGTACTGTTTACAAAAATAACGATGAGCTATATCAGTTGCGCAATCTCACATGTACGGGTAACTCAATGTGAAAATGTTATCAAATCATCAAAACAAAATATATACAATTTGACAAAAAATGTATTAGGATTTTTTTTAACGGTCTTTCTTCTTTGCTCGTTGGCTAAGAGGTTGACGCGTTTGATATAAGATGGCCGATGTTAAGGGACGGTCGCAAAGGCCTGGGTTTAAGCCTTAAAAGAATGGGTGTTCAATTATTTCTTTGGCCAAAAACCACGCGGGCACAGTATGGATTACTTTTTGATATGGTATCATATCCATCAGAAAGACCCAGCACCCTACCTATCCGCACTGGGCCCAACAGCCGGGCCCAGAATGAAATGATGGGTGTTTTTTTCTAGTTCAGGGAGTGGTACAATATAATTGTCATATATTTTTTAAATATTTTATTTACCTGCACTAGACGGCGAGTTCGTCCGCTTCCTTCTCTCGTTGGCGGACGGCGACGGCGGTCTCCACTAGTAGATACAGACATTTGAATTTGTCGCGTTCACCTTCACCAGACACAGATCCCGCTGGGACAACCTGTTTATATAACAAAAAAAAAAAAAAATACACACTCGATACAGCTAATACGACTCATTGAAGTACGGTCAGCAAAGAAAGCCGACGAAAGTTTCTGTGAGATCTAATTATCGTTAAAGCTGACTTAAAAATATCATTACAAGGTACACCATCATAATATTATAGGGACACCTCATTGTTTCACTTTAAAATAAACATCAACGCGTAAACCCAAATGCGAAAAATATTATTATAGATGTAGATTTAATAATATGAGTAGTCAGACTTTTATATAAGTTTTTGACTTGTACACAAAAATTTGTTATCTTTTTTTAAATAATTTTTTATTTCGTTAATTTCTGGATTTTTTTGCAGGCACTCCGTTATCGTGGTACTGTATAAATATAAGGTACACGGAAGTAATCCTTAACAATTATCTAATGTTAATGGCCGCGAAAGTTTAAAACAACATAATGTTTAATATTATTCAAAAATCAGTAGAATCCACGTTGAGTATAATTCAGTTGCGGGTAGTGCGTATTTTAGCTATAATATTACTCAAAACTATAGGCATGGCAGGGAGGTATCTCAAGTCTGTTGACTTAACTTGTAGCTTAGGTCCTTGTATTTTTATTAATTATAGTTTGAATTCTTTTATTGATGTAAATATCAAGAATGTGATTTGATGTCGAAAATTATGTTAATGGCAGTGAGGACAAAAATGATAATGAATGAATCACTATTATTTAAAATGGTCGCCTGAATGTTGGCGCACCCTGGCGAACCCGTCTTGACCATGACACATTTTTGCCGGGAGAACGAGACATCGCGACAAATACACAAGATGAAAAGATAGATAATAGATTATCAACTCCACAGTCGTTTTTCAGGTTAATGACCTTTCGTATCGCTACTAGATGGCTGTACTTTAGACGCGTTTGTTCGACCATAACAGCCCGAGTGAAAGAGATAAAAGTAAACGGGCGAGCTATAGGTATGTACCTGCAGCCGCCGCCGCAGCGGATGCGGCAACTGCGGCAGGTGCGCCAGCTGCGGGTGCCAGCCCCCCGCGCCGCCCCCGCCCCCCTCGCCGCCCCCGCCCCCACTTGCGCCCTCCTCTGTCTCGGACGTGCGCACGGTCACCAGTGCTGCGGTCCTACACATATACATTACAGCCATGAAGTGAACTCATCACCTATTCTGAGTATTAGTATGCCATGTAAATTTGGAGTGCACCTCCCTTGTCACTTAGGGGTTATTCTCGGACTTACTGGATACATATACATGCGAATTTCATCGAAATCTATCGAGCCGTTTCGGAGGAGTATGATTTCACAGGACTGAAACTGACACGAGAATTTTATATATTAGATTATACATAGCTGGTTAGTTTCTTTCGTTCGTTATTTCTCTTCTTTTAAGCTAAAAGTGAAAAAAGTAGTAAAAAAAATGGTGAAGGACTCAAAAATTTGAATAAATCTATGTGAATAAAAATATTTTGATTTTGATTGTAGGGAGTAATGATAGGAAATGAGAATTCTATCACCTACAGGAAGCTACATCATACGCGGGTGACATAGGCTACAATTTACGCGGGCGAAAACAGCTGATCGCATGATATTTTTGTTGCAAATACTGTATGTTATTGGCAAATTAATAAAAAAATTATGTCAGTTGTCATGACGTGGGCAACTACAATTATTCACTAAAAAAAGGATAAGTCGTAAGTAACGTACGTACATTCATTAATTATAAGGTGATATGATGTTCGCGATACCTTCTAAGAATTTATATAGATAGCTCACCCTCTAGCGGCCGGATGCTCCTTATCCTCGGGTCCATATCTTATGACGGACTGCCAAACGGAGGGATCGTATTTGACCTCCTCCTCGCTGACGGCGCTGGACGAGTATCCCTCCTCTCCGTCCGCCACTTCGTCCCCGTCGCTGCGGTACACCAGCAGACCCTCGCTGTATTCTTGCTCTGGGTTCTCACCCTCGTGCTGAAATGCATACACTTTTTAGAGCATTACAAACAAACTTACCGAACTCCCAAGCCCGCCAGCCAATTCGCACATAAGGGAGCGATCTGCCTGTAATATATTTAGTTGGTGAATACCAATAAAAAATAGTTAACATGTAGTATTAACATGCTGAGTAGCAATTTTGGCAATGGACGGTCACGGGCTGGGTGATCAAAAATTATTATCACGAGCTACTGCGTGCTTCGGAAGGCACATTAAGCTGTTGGACCCGGCTGCGTTTGTAGTCCTAATTAATTATCCATAAGAAAGTCCTGAGCCCCTTCAGTGGGGACATAAAAGGGCTGATGATGAAAAGAATATTCGAACCTCGACCCCCACATCGTCCCACGTGACGACTACTCCAGATCCGCTGGCGCCAGAGGGCGCGCCGGCCGGCTGTTTCCTGCCGCGCCTCGAGATCGTGTAGTGGAGCGGATCGTGGCCCTCGCGACGTATCATCTCTGGCAGGATGCGCCGACGGGCGTTTATGAACCAGTTGCATACCTGGACGATAATCAACGAATAAAACGACGTGACTAAACACTGAAAACTTCAAGTTTGAAATAAAATGAAACTCACTTGTAGTACTGTCAAATTGGCTTCTTGGCTGAGCGTTAGTTTTTCAGCGTCGCTTGGATATGCGTTGTATCTATAAAATAAAAAAATCAATTAGCGAAAGGTATTTTTAAATATTTTTGTACACTATACATACATATCAAAAACAACTAAACGTGTTTTACCTCATAATTTTGAGCCTTTAGTAATTTTAAGTACATATTTAGAAACAGTTTGGTACTGTAATTATAGTTTATTTCTAAGGTAGATGATGAAACAAACAATGACCCGGATATTATGTGAGTATCAATTTCTATGGTCGCTCAGGCTAAGCTCCTCCTCCACTCCTCTATCAGCTGTAATCAAGTCAATTCACTTTCATATTCATTTACATCACCTTCTAATTCATATTAATTTCATCCCTTCTCATGACATATACATACAAATAAAATCATACAATAAGTCCGCTAATAGGGCAATGTAATTTTTTGCGGTGTAAAGGTCAGTTGCTCAAACGTCCATCAAGGTTTAATGACGCCTTTATGCTCTAATAAATATCGCATTTGTAATGACAATTTTACTGGACGTTTATGCAACTAGCGATTAGACTTGCGCTGTTTGCAGTTCTTTTTTGCCTGCCCTATAAATAGATTACGGTACCCGATATCGAATATCGTCATATTAAAAGGTTATTTTATATTGTCCGATTCACCTGTGGTCGTAGAGCCACCTCTTCAGTATCTTGACCGAGTGCTTGGGCAGATTCCCGCGACGCTTGCGCACCGCAACGATACCCGGCGGCGGTCCGTGTCCGTGCATCAGGCTCGCGCGCCGCGACCTGTCGGCCTCGCCATCTGTGCCGCTCTCGTTGTCATCCGTAGATGACGTCGACGGGAATCTGTCGCGTACTGTACACAAATGTTTTTACTTTAAACAACATCTCTAAGTATGGGTTCAACTGGAAATGTAACTCGTAAGAATTAACATGACACCCGAAGGATTATTCTATTTACTTGAAAACTAAATTTTGTCTATTTTCGAAACGCTAATACAACTTTAAAGAATCACATGTTCCGATAAAATTTATTATGCAACAGATGTAGGACCTTAGACCGCCTCTGATACACAGATAATCTTCACGGATATGATTATAACAAAATTATTGGAAAAACCATTTGAAATTTTCCGAATTTTCAATCGAAGACAAATACAATGCTTTAGGTTGTTAATTCGTACAAGTTATGAGTATTCCCGTTTCTTAGCAACTGCATTAGTTGACTAAATATTTGTATAGGTATTTCGTAAGAAGTTTTAGATGGCGAATATTTATGTAGCTCATGTCAATTGTTAGATACAGAAAATAGTAGCTGCCGACTCTAATTGTATACCCTTTCCTATTGAACAATAAAAAGGTACAGTAGCAAAATCCATGTCTTTGTCTCTGACCTACTTAAAAAGTGCGAATTCCAGTCTAAAAGACAAAATTCCTATAATTTTTCCCTTATGTAATACAAAAACCAACTACGGTTATCTGGAAGAAATTGCTTTTTAGCGATAAGGCTGCTATTGTACTGTGATGTATGTTTACACAGTATACATTTATTGTGTACAGAAAAATATTAATTTAATTAACCATTAATTAGTGTTAAAAGGGACTAATTTAAAAATAAATGATATTGACGCCTAATAAAATATAGTTTTAGTAATAAGCTCGTAACCAAACGTGCAGGTTGCACACTTGCTCGACATATTTTTTTTGTAGTGTGCGTGTTTTCGAAGTCATGTCCGATCCTCACATAAGACTACAATAGTAGTTATAATGAATCGCTAACGAACGCGTTTTCATGTCACAAGCGTCGCTGAACAAACATGACGGATGATCCGTTAGCCCGTTTACATTTCATGAGTCAACAATATTGAATAGGGTCACGCTCGCGCATCATTTACGATGTTAACTGAAAAAAAAATCGTTTACAGAAGGCGAATATGTTAACAAATTCATTCCTCTTAGCAGTAATACTAGTTTTTGGAGAAAAGCTCCATAATATCGGTTTGTAAAAGTCAAATCTAAGAAATAATAAAATAATAAATCAGGATTCTTTTTATTGTTGTTTTAGTTTGATTCATTAAGTTAAAAACTGATGATACTTACTAGTAATATTAGGTCATCTGATTATTATATCTGTATAATAAAAAAGAAATGCTCTAACTCTAGGACTCTGTAGAGAATACTCTAAGAAATGTTGGTCCCATTGGCTGTGATATTAAAATTAGTAACCAGTGTGTCACTAAATCATGATATCGTGTCCGTTTTCATTAGTCAGGAGTCGCCTAAATCTGTCGCCTAAATATTTAGAAATCGCCTAATCGGTAAAAATACATTTCACCATTGACTAGAAACCATTTAACGAAATTAAGCAATGTTTAAAGTTATGACATTAATTTTGCGGTACCTTGCGCTAGGCATTTGCGTATATATATTTGGTCATAAATACGTCAAGGGACAAAAGAAAAAAAAATGTAATTAATCTGCTTAAGCGATTCGTTATATTAGACGTTTCCTAGTTAAGATTATGTTCTAGGTTACTGAAAGTCGGTGTCAGAAACGACAAAGAAAATTCAGTTCTTCATTATGGCGTCTCGTATGGAAATTGAAATTGGGATTTTAGTCCTCTTTGGAGAATTGTTTTATTATAAGCCTTACCTATATGCATGATGCATCTTGAGAATTATCTTGTAATAATAACCCTTTAACAAAATAATGATTGAGATACTAGTTTTGACCTCTTTAGCATTAGCTTATCTACGAAGATAACGTTTGAAGACATAACAAATAGAAATCGTCTTCAATTTGGTAACTAGGTATAGCAAGTAAAGGTTTTACGTACAATAAGGTAACTTTTAGGCTTCGGATATGATAATAAGGCAATATTATAACAAAAGTAGATGATTAACACTCGTACAATTAACATAACACCTGAGGGCATATTCTATTTGTCCTCGAACGAAAATTTCGAATTGTTCTTATAATATGTTAAAATCATAAAGTCTGTGAAGATTATTTGTGCAACAGAGGCAGTGACAGCTCCTACCTCTGTTGCGACATAAGTTTTTCAAAATTTTACTTAAAATTTTGAAAATAGAGGAAATTTCATTTTTGAGTAAATATGATAGGCCTTCAGGTGTCATATTAATTCTTACTTGATATTTAAGTAATTTATTGTTCATTCGATTGAGAAAAGTAAAAACATGTATATGTCCGTTGGCCTTTGTTTAGTCGAGCGAGATGCATTCTGCAGAGAGCGGTAGTTGCGTAGGGGTGCAATGTGCATCGATCGGGATTGGGGTCAGCGGCCGAAGATGTGACGCAACGAAGGGCACTCACTCACTTGGGTAGAGCACGCCAATTTCTTTATGGGATACTGGGACGCGATAAGTCAAAACTTGTTCGAAGATTGTCCCAGTTTTAAGGGTGTTATCAATTGAAACCGTTCGTCCGTCTGTCAAGACCCGTTTTCTCAGGAACGCATGGAGGTATAATTGCAATTTATATCAACTGTCCCTTCGAGCTGTGTAAAAATCAAACTTCTAAGCCAACGCAATCATAAGATACAGCCGTTTATGTCGCAAACTTTCGAAACTCGCAAGGGAATCAAAACCGGGGTACTTCCCGTGAACTCAGAATCTTGAAATTCGGTAAGAAGCAACGTCTTATAGCACAAATGAAGGAAAAATTTAGAATAATTAAAATTTTTAGCTACGTCATATAATAAAATTTGTATTAATTTTAAAGTTACTACCCTTTTGCTCATGAACGCGTAGAGGTATAAAATTGAAATTCATATCAAACTGAGGTTCTATAATACCTTTAAGCTGTAACCAAATGGCAATCAAAAGAAACAGCAATTTAAGCTGCATATTTTCAAACTCGAAACTACTCGCAAGGGAATCAAAACCTAAAGGCCAGCCCAGTCCAACTTCAGTCGACCTAGAATCTTGAAATTTGGCATGAAGCAATTTTTTATAATACATATAAAGGCAAAATTAGAACATATAAATGAAATCCTCAATTTCTTTGTTACATATGTATTTTTTGAAATGTGAACTTCTACTTATTTATTACCTACAGGTTTGTACGGAACCCTCGGTGCGCGATTCCTACTCGCACTTGACCGGTTTATATTGAGATAATGTGTCTACTGTCGCAGACACAGCTAATCATTGTAAGCGACCCAAAGGCGTGTGTGTAAAAAAAAAAAAAATATTGGGACCACTTTTGGGAGGAAATCAGAAATAGGCACCTAATAGACTAGAATATTTTTTTACACTTTAATTATAACTCTCGTGTCACAGTTTTAAGTTATCATAACTTCGAAACCACGAGACCGATTTTGATGAAATCTTATATGTATATTCAGTAGGTCTGAAAACAGGTCGTTATTTGTTTTTAATATCATTAAGTGATAGACAACCGTAGCCCTCTCCAAATTTATAAACACAACAACTTCAATATTTGGTTATACTAATAGCATGCAAATATTAGATTAGATTTTTTGTAATTTTTTGTAGGTATTAGTTTTTAGTACGAAATCATATTTCGTATTTTTTTAAAGTTTTTAAGACTCAAGAAGTTGCGTTCCTCAAAATCACCGACACTCAACTAGCTTTGTAGAAATAAATAAACACCCAAATAAGCTGTAATTGAAAATGAGAAATTACATAATATTTCTAAAACTTCTTTCATAGCCAAAGCGCAAAATTTATTAAATTTTCACGGTAGAATAAATCACAAAGATACCCCTAAAATTCAAAAATTTTCTGTTTGTTGTGTTAATTCTTTTCTTATATGGCCAATTGATAAATGTACGAGTCCTTGGCAAAATGCGTTACATACTATCCCACGCTAAATGGTAAAAACGATCATGCAACATTAGAAGGTTTTTCTGATAATATATCTGGACCTGAAAAGCATTAGGTCGGATGTGCAGAACCAGCTAAAATCACTTATCGCCATAACGTTGCTACACTCTTTTTTCTCTTTCCGGCAAATTAACTCTTGTATGTTTGTGCCTTTTTACTCATGAGCAACAGTCATGCATAAAGTCGGATCAGACGACTTTTTCAAATATTTTGATTGCATTTAGCTATTTCTGTTTTTATACAGTTATGCCTAAGATTCCCGACATCCGACCTAATGCTTTTCAGGTCCAGATATATTTTTGTTTTGTATGATTTCAGGTTTGGCTATACTCGTTTGTCTGTCACATTATCTTTTTTACTAGTTTCTACATACATTTAACGATTTTGATTTCGTATTACAAAAAATACATAGCTTCAGTCCAAAGTTTCCATAATAGTCAGCATATGTAAGCTGACCTTCAAGTTCCAACATTGTTTATTTGAATTGCAAAACATTGTATTGTTAGGTATTGATTTTGATAACCAAATACCTTTTTTAAATTTACCTTAATAACCATAATGAAAATATTTGTATTATTGCGTATAATTTAGCTAGTTTCAATTTTAACGTTAAAATTTTAATTTTTAAAATTCGCAAACCCGTATTAGTACCGATTTTTTTGCAGACAACCCTATATCAATGTGTTCGTAATGAAACAGCGCTTATGTTGATATATTTTTTTTTTATTATCAAATCAAGTGAAATTAACTGGCATCGATATACCTGTTTATACCTGACAACCCAGTAGTTCGTCCAGGTAAATAATAGACAACCCAACGTCTGCACATTCTATATGTTTTATACTTTAAGTCAGAATAAATTTTTCTTATTATCTTGATGTTGCAACATTTAATAAAAAAATATTTTTTAAAAGTAATTAAAAATATTCTGTCCAGGATTTTTTTAGCGAACCCATTTTTAATATATTTTCTAATATACTAAATTAATTATATAATAAGTTTTATCCCATTATCAACCCGGTGAAGGTCGATTTAGGTTCGGATCTTCTATTAGGATTAGTGTTATTTTATTATAGGTTGACTACTCGTGTTGCCTTTTTTCAAAGCAAAATATAGCCAATACTTTTTTTAAATATAAGAATAATTAATGAAAGAATGTCAAATTACAATTACATCACTGCATAGTATAAAACAAAATCGCTTTCTCTATATCTATAACCAATTTGATGCAGTTTTTTTTTCATAGATAGGGTGATTCAAAAAGAAGGTTTTTATGTATAATACAAGACCACACAGGCGAAGCCACTGGCAGAAAGCTAGTTAGAATATATAAAATAGTTATTAAAAATTGTATAACATAAGAATTGTCATAATGTGTCAATGTCTACAAAAATTTTCCTTTAACTATATTTGGTTTTTGATACTAGCCATGTATGCTATTTGTATTTTAGTTATTTGTATGGTAATTCCCTTTTTTTGAGGATTTTTGTTAAATATTTTCATTAAATGATTAATTTGGTCGGAGCACGTTAACATGCTACAGAATATATTTGGTCCTCATGCTTTCGAAATAATTGTGAGTTTTAGTCAGACTCTACATTTCGCTCGTATTTATTTTGAAGAATGAAGGCTCTTTTTATGTCTACAGAATTGCCCCACAGAGTTCTAGTCCATACCTTAATACTGATGCAACAAAACCATGGTATATATATATTTTTTATTTCGACTTACAAAACCGATTACAATAAAAAATAGTAATTTTACAATTTTCACACAACAGGAACTGGATCATAGCCTTCTAGATGTGAGCACAACTTACATTTTTAAAACTAAACATTTTCTCTATTTAGTGTATTTTAAGAAAAAAGAAAAAACAAAATAAGCTCAAATATTAAATTGTCTTTGTTGTTATAATTAGTTAATGTCAAGTTTTTAGTTTTAAATAGAATAGCTGTCAAATAATTGTGTTTTAACCAGTCAAGAACTTCTTGAGGAACTTCTAGAATACTACCTTAGGGTACACCGTGTCTGTTGGATTTAGATTCTGATGCAAAATTTGTCAAACAATTACTTTGGTTGAGTTGGGTTATCTCTATGTATTGCCTACAATCCTTCAGAGCTCTATAGCCATTTTAATGCTGTACCTCTAATGTCATATTTTTCACATTTATTTAGTAGTCTTATGATCTACAAAATCAAATGCTTATGTCATGTTCCAAAAAGTTACAAACAAGTATATGTTTATCTATATAATCAAGAACAACACTAATCAAATTGAAAGCGGTTATGATAGCCGATTTTCGCTTTTGGAAGCCATATTGTTTTTGATAATTTCATATTTTTCTAAAAAATCTGTAAGCCGACTATGCATAAATTTTTCCAAAATTGTTGCAAACATTGTAATTAAAACAAAAGTACTAATTACTTATACATTCTCGGTCACCTTTCTTATATAAAGGTTTTATATTTATAACTGATAGTTTCAGACTATCAGGAAATATTCCATCTGTTAATGCAAAGTTTAATATTGTCCTTTAATACTAGACATATATGACTTTCAGTTCTCTTAATTACCTCAGTTGATATCCCGTGGCATCCCACAGATTTTGTATTGTTTTAGGAATGTCTTAACTTTTAACACTGTTTAGTCACTGGTTTAAAAAAGATGCTAGATTTTATTGATTGTATTTTATTGTGATAATTGTTGATACTGGGCAAATGATAAAGTATTTTTATTTGAAGTGAATATGAAGTCAAAGTCAAAGTCAAAATAATCTTTATTCAAATAGATATTGAAGTATGAAGTATTAGATAGATATGAAGTATTCATTAAATGTTTTGGCTATTTCAATGGTTCTGTTATTGTCTGATTGTCATATTTAATTGAATAATTGAATTTGCGGTGAAAATTGAAATTGTAATTACAATTCAAGAACTGTTTATACAATATATCAATATAGAGCTGTACTTTTTATAATTAACAATTATTTCAGGCATTATAAACTTATAACATTGAAATCTCAAATTATGTTTCAAGTGTGACGGTTTTTTATACCCTTTGTTATCCATCGAGGCACTGCATGTTAATTTTTTATTTTCTTTGTTTCAGTTGGAAAACGCAAATTATAGAAAAGACAAAAATTGTAATGAAACCTGATAAATGCTTTATTAACTCTCTCTCTGGTCAGATATTTTATCTCTTGCTCAGATAAAATATCTGACCGGGTTAAAGCATTAAGACACTCAAACTTTTTTTTTTAAAGAGTAGTAGTAAAACGGTACGCAATATTTTTGGTTTGTTTATGACTGGAATTGTAAAAGCTTGACGTATAAGTAGTTTGTTATTATCTTTTTGATCAGTTTTGTATCTGCATCTATTACAGATCGTAATAAGTTCTTGAGTTTTATACAAATATACAATGTTTCTTTTTGTTTTACTTCTAAAATTTCAGTATTTACGATTATTTGACAGTAAATTAGTTGGCTGAATTTTAATCAGCTGTATTGTAAATTGATTTTATTATTGGAAATTGTAAAGGGTTTGCGGCTCAATTGTTCAGCTGAAATTACCACCTGGCTGCAACACATACATTGAATTGATTTTACATTATGATTTGATTGTATGGGGAAATAGTACTGACATAATAGAGCTTTAATTGTATAAAAAAGATGTTCTAGACAGCCACCTCAGGAATCCTGTGAACCTTTATTAAAATCGCTAGGCTTATTATCATAGTTATGTTTGTAAGAAAACATTACTGTCTTTTCAAAAAGGCAGGTGCTGCTAAAGTGCGAATACAGAGATCAAAATAAACTATTTATAATATCAGGTCCTATATCAGTCAAGTTTAACAATGGTTTACCTAGGTATATGGTATAAACAAATTACCTAGGTATATGAAATCTTTTAATGACAGACAATTTAAATCAGAATTGTATAAATGGCTTCTTTATTATAATTTACTTTATATGAATTTATGAATTATGTATATAATTAAAGTAGTTTGTGCATTTTATATGTAAAATAAATATCTGTTCAGAAAATATAGGTTTTTAATAGTGTAGTTAATTTAAATTCAACATCTGTAATACCATGTTTTATTATAAATAAATTATTATTATTGATATGATATAATTTAAGAATTAATTGAATGTTTTTTTTAGCAAATAAACTGAATTTTAAAAATCAATCTATTTTACAAATAGATTTCATTTATCTATTATTAAAACAAACTAAATTTTAAAGAAAGTCTAATATTATGACAAATCTATACTAATATTTTGAAGAGGAAAAGTTTCTTACTGTGTTTGTTTGTATGGGTAATTTCAGAAATATTAATCTGGTCATGAAAACTCTTTCGCCTACATAAAGCTACATCATATGCGGGTGACATAAGCTATAATTTACATGACCAAACTCATGGAACTAGGAACAGATAATAAGAAATAAAGTGAAATCTGCTGTTGATTGTACACACATCAGCAAATCTGGACCTGAAAAGCATTAGGTCGGATGTGCAGAACCAGCTAAAATCACTTATCGCCATAACGTTGCTACACTCTTTTTTCTCTTTCCGGCAAATTAACTCTTGTATGTTTGTGCCTTTTTACTCATGAGCAACAGTCATGCATAAAGTCAGATCAGACGACTTTTTCAAATATTTTGATTGCATTTAGCTATTTCTGTTTTTATACAGTTATGCCTAAGATTCCCGACATCCGACCTAATGCTTTTCAGGTCCAGAAATGTTATCAATAAAAATATTTTTTCAAATGTATTTTGAACTCTACTACTAACATATTAAGATCAAAAATCGAAAGGAGAAATTTGACACTTGTATAACTTGCCATACCATTAGTACAATGCAAGCCAAGCAACAAGATATCAACAAAGCGACCGTAGCGCCACATAACCGAGCGCGTGACAGTTGAACTAACAAATTCGGTCAGCCATCTTGAGCATTTTACTATTTCTGTTTATGACATTTCACCTGTCATCGAGACAGTCAAAAATATACAATTGCTACTGATAACAACAACAAACAAACAACCTTCGCCCAAACAATAAATCTCCAAATTATATAGAAAAATGTACAAAAACCTATGGAGATGTTATAAGATAGTCTAATGACAATCTAAAAATAACCTTAACACGTGCCAAATGGCATAAATACCTCCGGAGTCATTTTTAATCTTTGATGTAATTTAATGCTTCAATTTAGGGCGCTGTTATGACGCTGAGAATAAGCACTTCAGATTACTACGTATTATATTGCTAAGACGCCAAGTAGTAAGAATTATGCAGATATAGTAGGACGCGTTGGCGCCATTTTACTTTTGTAAGAACGCGTTCCTAGATGACGTAACAGGCCTAAATTTCACTGTAAATGTTTACCACATTGCTGTATTGGGGAGATGTTAGTTTTCTGTTTATAATTTTGACCTCGGAAGGTGTTGTTTTTGTATAAATGTCACCTTGACATATCATGTCAAATTGACAAACCATAGCAAAAACGTGGCGTCGTTTTGGGCCGGCTTGCTTACCTCCAGGGGATGTTGATTGCTCTGATTGACTGATTCTGCTGGCTACTCTGGCATCCCTTATAATTTCCCGAGTCAGTTCTCGAACGTCCCTACGTTGCTGGAATGCCGCCATGTCGGGCCGGTCGCGTTCTTCTTGAGCTATACCGGCCGTAGGTGGTAACATCGTTACTTAATCCATGCGAATTATTGAAATCTTCACAGAGTCACTTGTAAACTAAACTAAAGTCCACCGATAATTAAGAAAATAGATAATTATTGACAACAATAAAAAAACAATAATATCACGGCGAATAAACTACGCACAGCAAACGAACCGAGCACAACTGACGTAAAGGGGACGGCGGGAACCTAAAGCGCCGTCGCGCAAGTATCTCTTTCTCTCTCGAGCTTATTTATATCACTTTCTCATTTACACAGAAACGCTTCCATGACAGAAAGGAAGTGTAGATGTCAAAACAAAGCATGACTATGGCGTGCTGTGTTTATTTTAAAATGTCAAATGAACTCGTTTACAAATATGCATGCGCGACGCCATCTGTTTGAATTTTCACGTAATGTGAAAGTAGAGCATCGTCTATTTTAGTTTACAGACTTCTTAATTTTGTTTTTAGTAATCGTGTTAGAATAAATATTTTCAGATAAGAATAGAACCTTTTATCAGTATCAATAGAATTCATCAGATAAAAAACCATCTCCGAAATAACTAACGTTCAATCACCTAGTGTGAAGCCAAGGTAGCATAGTGATTAGCGCAGTTTGATCGGACTTGGGAAAATGTTTTATATGTCATAAATTTCAACAATGATCAAAGATTTCAGTTTGTACGTATGGGTAATGAGCTTTCATGGTAAACGTTACATTATTTTAGCGCCGAGGACTTGATAAAAATAAGGTACACCTACTCGTATATATGGTAGCAATCCCGTAAATAACTATTATTCTAAACATTTTGCCATGGTGAGACAGCCAAAAATTTTATTTCTTTTTTATTGAAAGACTGGGTTGACATTTGGCCACTATGTAACCTGATGGTAAGTAAGATGAGGCTTAAGATGGCCTAAGTATGCTTACTCAGGCTCTCTCTCAATCTTCCTTGTATAAGAAAGCATCAGCTGTTGGTACTGGCTGCGTGTGCATTCGTTAACAACCAACAATACGCACCGGACCCGTTAGGTGTATCCGACAAAGAGGCTATGGCCCTAACGCCTACCCAAAGTCCATAGCAAAAACTTAAGTTATAATAATCATCATCACTATATATGTATTATAAAACAAAGCCCCCTCCACGTCTGGCTGTTCCCGAAAAACTCGAAAAGTACTGGATGAATTTTCATATATTTGTCACTAACACGGAGGGTGATCCTCGAGGAAGTTTTAAGTGTATAATAAGATTAGGTTCATTTAAGACATTAGTTCGACATGTCGGAAAAAATAACCGATCGGGAGTTCCTCGAAAACGCTGTTAAAACTTTTTGAGTTATGATAACAAAAATTTGTATGGTGGGATTTTACCTACCTCTTTATAACCCTGCATGGTATATAATTCTCCTGGAAGTCCAGCAGGCAGATCCCGCTTCTGGATTCTTGCATGCATTCATGATATCATTGTACTATGAATATTAACTTTAATTCCATAGACCCATTTTTATGTCGTGTTTGGTAGATATCTTTATTAAAAATTGTTTGTTTTAAGGACAAAAGTGGAGAGATGTTTCTTTGGATTTTTGACATAGTACTCGTATATAGGTACGCGTATAACTTCCGAACGACAGCATCAAATTGGATGATTCTTTTTTATGTGTTCCTTACTGCCAGGTCAGGGGCGCTACCGCCTAACTCGTGGTCGTAGCCGTAGTCGTAGCTAGTAGCGTACTATAATAACCTATGCTTTATAGATATTTCTCATGAATCTGTTGATATTCTTTTAAAAATTTTATTAATAATATATGTAATCAAATATTTTGCTTTATTTTCTTTTCGTAATAGCTTTGTTTACCTCAATTCGACATTTTGTAAATTTCATCTAACTTTAATAATTCAGTAAACAAAAACAATCAAAAGCATTGCTTATATATCGCACACCTAGATCTAAATTGAGACAACTCAAAAATTTGAGCGAGTCTTGACTTAGTACAATATTCAAATACTCGGTGATCATACGCATCTATCCAACATAACAGATTCAATAAAGGTTTGGGGATGAGCCGCTAGATTTAAGCTTTCTATTGTTGAATCAACAGTGGTCGCGCTCCTGCCATATAAACAAATGTATTGTCAAACCTCCAAATTTAGTTTCTTGAGTTGTTTTAGTTTAGATCTAGGTGTGCGATATGTAAATAATAAAACGAGAACATGGTATAACAATATGAACATTTTCATTGGCAGAATCAATAGAACGTTCTTATAACTATAGCTAGAGTTATAACGGAATCTTTAGGAGGTCGTTCCCTAGACAAGGTATCTTTTTAAGAAAATTTATAAAAAAACCCTCAGTTGCGACTGGAGGAATAAAATATGGCGGTACGAAGTTCGCCGGGTCAGCTAGTAGAGCTATAAGTTAATTTCATTAATTAAACTTAATCCTTCCTTCTAATTGTATGAGGATGATTGTTACACCTTTTAATTTTAAACCAGAATTAACATATAGGTTCCCTCTATCCGATTCCCTAGGCATAAATGTGTAAGTAATTCAAGTCATCTTGTAAGCCTCGTGGGCGAAGCCACTGGCGGAAAATGATTTATATTTGATTTTTACAAGGAATTAATGCTCTATTCTAACATAGGGCAAAATCAGGCAGCTGTTCTCCTGTTACACTAAGGTCCAAGTAATCATCGTTGACGCAGACTATACCTACTAATACTTCTGTAATCCAAATTAAAATTAAAATTTATAATCGTTCGGTCCTTGTCAGAATTAATTGATATGTTCTGCATAAATAAAGATTCACCATACGCTAGATTAGTTGGACCGTACCCGAATCTTACAATCGATCTATGAGTTAGTTTTAATATACACTATACTATATGTATAATAATTAATATAAAAAAAAATATTTTTTATGTATGTAGCTCGGTGGCGTAGTGGATAAGCGCTTTCGATTGTCGTTAAGCAACTTTCGCAAGGGTCGGGATGTCACGTCACGAGATGGGTGACCAAAAAATTATTATCTCGAGCTACTCCGTGGTCCCGGCTGCTTTTGCAAACGTTAATACTCTCCAATCCGCATTGGGCCAGCGTGGAGGGTCATGGCCATGTCATGGCCCATCCTCCTTAACCATCCATAAGGAAGCCGTGAGCCCCTGCAGTGGGGACATATAAGGGCTGATGATGATGATGATGAAAAAAAATTTAAAAGTCGGCGGAAATATCCGTGAACATATATTTCCGCCGATTTTCAAATTTTTTTTATCGGGCAGCTTAATGGATCCAGGTGATCTCAAAATTTTTATTGAAATCAAACCAGTAGTTTTCCTTTCATAACAAATTACGCTTTTCATCAGATATCACCTAAATGTTTAGATGATTGTTTATTTCAGCTAAAAAAATAGCGTATTTTTCATTCATTCAAAATTCGGAACGAGGATTTTCTATGTTCAACTAGTATACATTTTTCTATTTTTAATGAAAATGAATGAGTATATTTGTAAGTATATATGATTTATATTAAAGTCGGTCGCCTATCTTTTAATAACCCACAGAACCCCCCCCCCCCCCCCCCCGACTTCAAAACATTTTCTTGAATAAGTCGCTTTTCATATAGTTTGAAGTAGGTTCTATTTTTTAAAGCAATGGTAAAAACATTGTACTATCTACCTGAAATTCTTCAAAAGTCCTTAATATTAGTGCAATGTCTTCCTCACACATCAATGGTGATAGATATACAACGTGTCCCAAAATTCAACGATAAGCGGGCGCCAAGAGGTACCCTTGCTCATGTGTACTTATGGAAAAATAAGAAAAAAATTATATCTAATCTTTTTTATTATAAAATTAAATTCAAAAATCTTCGAAAATTTACACCTTTTATGATATTTTCAACTACCACGACCACAACTTCTCAATTATGTTCAATCTTTTTTTGGTATCGGATACCTAAGTAGCACTACTATTCGCTACAACTCTTTCGAAAATTTTCGAATTTTATTTAAAAAAAAAAAGATTAATAAGATATAATTTTTTTCTTATTTTTCCATAAGTACACATGAGCAGGTCTACCTCTTGGCGCCCGCTTATCGTTGAATTTTGGGACACGTTGTATAATAATATTGGACTTCGGGTACAGTACAAAAACAGTAGCAAAATGCAAGTAGGTATTTGAGATTCTATTGAGATGGGATTATTACGTAAACAGTTGCGCATTGGCCCCTGCGGAATTTGATTTATTTATTTTTTGTTTATTGCATTTTAATACAAAAGGCGGACTTAATGCCAAAGGCATTCTCAGCCAATCTACCAGTAAAAAAATGTTGGAGTCAGGATGTTAGGCGATAAAAAAATAAAATAAAATAAAATAAAAAACCATGGAAAGGCGGTGTTTTTTTTAAATTTATGATCACTAATGCCTCATTTACACTGGTTGAGGAGGTCAAAGCGTTTCACTGATCAGTGAAATAACTAGCAATGAAAGCAAGGAGACAATATAGAAAGGTTCATTTTCTGCATCGACCCCACCTGTAATCGAACTCGGGACCTCGGAGATTACGACACCCTAATACCAATAAAATATCGTTATCTAGAATAATAAATATTAAGAATTGATTTGTTAGAGACGCGAGAAGTGAATTTACAGAGATGTCACTTATACAATACTTAATACAGAGATAGCAGCAATTTATTTCAATCATATGTATTTGTCCCATGGCTATCTTATTTATTACTTTTATATGTCTTTATATGAATATATTTGATAAAAGTCATTTATTTGTATTAAATTATTGAAACATAGCACTGACTTTATTAAATCTGAAAAATAATATCAAGTCTGTGAGGATGTGATATGAAGTAGTTGCCAAACTCTGCAACTACAGTGTTATTCTGTAATACAACCAGCATCTAACTCTATTTTGAGTACAGTGCTGTTACAGCACAGAGGTTAAATCAAACAAAACCTACTTCAAAATGTATAAGAGGTTTCTATTTGATTGAACTTTCCTGTTATGACAGCGCTGTGTTCGACTATAAGTTCGAGATTGATTTTACCACAGTATAGCGTAGCTGATGGAAGGAAGGCCATACTATTCCTTTTATCAAAAAGGTTATTTCAAAACTTGTGTATGTATGTGGCTAGCATATGATACTGATAAAAAAAAGTTTTGAGGTACTGAAAACCTGAAGACGAGAAGATTAAAGAGTAATAAATAAAAATAGTAGATATGTACTAAAAAGGACGGCTTTATTTAAGTTTCAGTGAAATACAAAATAATACATCTTATTGTAATTAATGAGTCGTACACTTAACATACATGGGTATAATTTATTATTTGTACATATTATATAAGTCAAGTTCCTAGTTAATATTAATTTATTAACCTAATAAGGGTAGTTTTTCTGGATCGATTCGATCAACTTCACGTAGACGTCATGAGCCTGGTTGGAGAACTGGAAGTCCATATGAGTGAAGTATTCCTGGGGTATTTTGTATTCCTCAGTGACGTTGGGGAGATCCTCTTTCAACCTCTGCACGTCCTTGGGATGAGAGAGCCAGTCGTCTTCACTGTAGTACAGAGCGACAGGTGCGGTGACCGCTGTCATATCGTATTTCGGAGGCTGAGTTTCACCATATACCTTCTTGTTGAGCTCTGCACCGAAATCGTACATTCTAAAGTCATGAGATGCCACCGATTGACCGTACTGCTTAATTTGCCTGGTAGACGCACCAGCGGGCAAGTGGCTCAGGATCAACGGAATAATGCTGGTGTTCAAGTGTTCTACATTGACGCCCGTCATCACTGGGTACACGTTGGAACAGAGATGTCTGCATTCAATCTCCTTCTGGCACATTTCGCCGCCGAGCGTTCGTACTACTTCTTTGCTGGGCTTAAATTCACCGCGGCCGAGTTGTTGGTTCAAGCTGTCGTAGAGCTCGCTGGTGGGTGCGATCATGCGCATCAAGGGGCTGCGAACATTGCTCATATATGTCATAGGTGCCAGAGCGTACATCACCACGATCTTGTTGTTGTATACTGGACGAGCGGCAGCGAGGGAGAAGAAAGCTGTAGTTCCGAGTGAATGACCAATGTAGACCATCTTCTGTTGGTTGGACGTCTGAAGGACATAGTCGATCATTGCTGGTAAATCGTATAGAGCGATTTCGTCGTTGCTGAACTGCCAGAAATCGGGATTCATGCGGTGCTTGCTGACATGGTGGGCGTATCTGCTGCTACGTGCGTTGCCGAGCCAGACATCGTAGCCAGCGTCCGAAAGTTGGTAAGCAAGGGATTCATGTGGACCCATCAATAGCCAGTCATCAGCGCAGCTGAGCAAGCCATGCATCAGGAAAACGACTGGTCTCTGTTTGTCTTCATTGGTCACCTGCTTCGGTGGAATGCGGAATAGTGTAAGTAAATATCCGTCTTCAGTCTTGATGGTGTGCTCCTCCACCGGGTATTGGTACTTCTTAAGCAGTTGTGTAGCATTAAGGTGAGTGTCTTCATTTTCAGTATTAATTGCGACATTTACATTCCTATGGAACGTGGTTTTGGTGTCACGGTCGATATGCTTCGTAGCCTTCTGAGCTTCAATGTAAAATTTCTGGATATCTTTTTCTGAGATATGGTTTTCTGGGTTAGCTGCCACTTGGATACCCCTCCATACAACGGCGTCACCGTACATGGACTCTTCGTTTTTGTTTGATGTGAAGACGTTAGAAACTGCTTCCATATCAGCAAACTTAGGTAATGCGTGCTGGTCAGCATTAGGCAAGTTCAACCTTTGAACGACGTCTTCGATTTCCTTTGACTCAGAAACAGCATCGGCATAGCGACTTATCTCCTGTTCATATTTCGAGTCATTATCATCTTCTGGTTGGTAGATGTGAGAGGTCTTGGTGTTGTGGTAGTTATTCTTGTGGTATTTTTGTTGTGCTGGCTTCTGGTATCGGTACATGTGTACCACAGGCTCCTGGAATCGGTATTGGTGTTCTACAGGCTCCTGGAATCGGTATTGGTATTCTACGGGTTCCTGGTAAGGGTACTGATGTTCAATAGCTTTTTGTTGTTTGTACTGGTGCTCAGCCTGTTCACTGAATCGGGACTGGGGTTGTTTATAATTTCTTTGGTGGTACTGAGGATAGTCGTATTTCCTTTGCTTGGCTAGATGTTCTTCGGCACTCCACTCCCTGAATTGGTTATTCTTGTATTGATTTTGTTGATACACAGGCTCGTTTTCATATTGGTCGACGTTTTCGTTGGAATGGCTTAAGTATCGTCGGATTTCTGGTTTATTACGACGCTGTTGGAAGATGTTGCCGGCGCTGTCCCGGGCTAACGCTATGCAGAGTAACACGCAGATAGCCTTCATGGTGCTAACTCTAAAGTGTACGGAATGACATCGCTTATTGGGTTTTTATATACTTTTAAAGTGTCTGTTCAGCGGTCTTGGTTTGGCGCGGACGTGAAGGCGGGGTGCTGCTGCGTAAGCAATGTGAACTATTGCGAACGATGCGCTGGACGAATTCCGGTCTGTGTTTACCGTAATAATTATTTAGTACTTAAATAATTTACTTTAAAATATTTGCCAACGATATTTTTTGATAAAGTTGTTATAATTTTTATTATATTAAATGAGAAACTAAAATCTCTAAATTATACTAATTTTAGTCACTCAATGTGACCAAGTCTAGGTTCCTGTGGGCAAATCTGGATATATAATATCTTTCTATAATAATAATTTATTTTTCCTTCCACATACAAAGTTACATAAAAAGTTGATTACATTTATCATAAAACACTTTTTTATTAAATTAAATACCTAAAGCCTTACTTACTGATAAAGGTACAAATTCTGCTGTACCTCTCTCTTCTAAAAAAAACTAAACTAAAAATATAATTTTAATTTGGGTTTGTTTTAAAGTTTTTCTATAGCCACATGTAATTAAAGACATATATAATTACCTAAACTGTATACTATAATTTAACAAGTTTACTTTTAATTTCTTTTCGGAGTTTACTTCAGTTACCTTCGTTATTTTCACAATTGAAAAAGCTGCTTGACCAGACTTTCTACCAGTGTTACTTTATAATGGTGAAAAAACTGGGTCTATTTTAAAGAATTTCCGTTTATTAATTTTATACAAAATATAAATTAAATCTTTTTGTAAAAATATATTTTATATTGACGACCTTCGGCCGATTGGTTTGCACTTCGGTTTCAACGTGTCGTTATCTTTGAGGTACCGGGTTCGATTCTCGTCGAGTCAACGTAGAAAATAACATTTTCTACATTGTCGGGGGTCTGGGTGTTGTTACCTTCGTAATGCAAGGGTTTTAACTAGGTACTTACATTTGGAATTTGAGCAATGCCTGTGATAATAAGTCTTGATTATTTTTTTTATGTTATTAATTAGCTGTTGCAGCGGCTGCGCCTGCGTGGTCCCTAGGGAAATGTTTAGTGGGATAAAAAGTATCTTGTTGTCTAAGTCAGCCAATACCCTATATGTACACTAAATTTCATCAAAATCCGTTCAGTAGTTTCGGTGTGATTGATAGGATTATATTTATTTATTTTATCTAACATTACGATAATTTCTTACAATATAAAACTGAAACAAAATACTAATAACCGTTAAGGCTGTAGGCATGCAGAATGAAATCTCGATGGCGCAATGGTTAGCGCGCCCGATCCGTATCGCAGATTGTCAAGCAATTTTCCCAATGGTCGGTCAAAGGATGGGTGGCCAAAAAATTTAATATCTTGAGCTTCTACGTGCTTCGGAAGGCACGTAAGCCGTTGGTCCCGGCTGCATCTGCAGTCGTAAATACCTACCAATCCGCACTGGGTCCGCGTGGTGGGTCATTCTGTCTATTCGATTTCATTCGATTCCATCCATAGGAAAGGTATTTACCCAATAAAGAGGTTGGCGATGTGATGTGAAGGCTGTCTCTGTAAACTTATGTACAATAAAGTTTTATATTTGTGTTGTTTGATTCTCATAGGACTCAATTGTGTGTCTGTTCGTCAGTCTGTCATAGATGATGATGATGAAGGAGAATTCATAGATGATGAAGAAGAAGAATTCCCTGTCAGGCGAACCAACGGCCGTCGCCCAACGTAGATAAATCAATCTTTAATATGCAGTGTTTTTTTGGGGTAAATCAGAAAATGGAAAAATTTCTCAATCTCATATATTGTACCATATCAAATAAAATCTACTCCATGGGTACCTACTTACAATATTTATATTTTGACAGCCACAACTATTTTTTTTTGTTTTTCAGTCTTACATAAACCTATAAATAAACATTTCTATTTATTCTAAACTAGCTTTCGGTCAGCGGCTTCGCCCGTGGTCTTGTATTATATATAAAAACCTACCTTTTAAATCACTCTATATATGAAAAAAGACCGCATCAAAATCCGTTGCGTAGTTTTAAAGATTTAAGCATACATGGATATAGGGACAGAGAAAGAGGCTTTTTACTATGTAGCGATAGTGATGCTGTTTGTTTTTTTTAACTCATATTATGCAATGATAATAAGCGATTCTATTTGATCTTTGCTCTTCTTCTTCTTTTTAATTAATGGCGATGCCCTTATGGATTTCGCCAGAGTCCAGTGTTTCGCTCAGATTAATTTCATGTCATGACAGCTGAAAATTAATGCGTCGTCTGCGTATCAAGGATTTTCTTCTTCTTAAATTTAATGGCTCTGCGTCACCACAATACTGCCAACTTCACGTAGGAGACATTTATTCAACCAAACAATTTTTGAATAACCAATTCTATTTTTCTACATGGATTGACCAAAAACAACACGTTAATAGTTATTTAAGATACGAGTGCGGAAAGTAAAGTTTTACGAATAAGGGCCAAATTGAAAACACGAGCGTAGCGAGGGTTTTCATTGGCACGAATTCGAAAAACCTTTTACGCTCAAGTTTCTTACAACATTTTTCAATGCTTTTTGCGAAGAAATAAAACAAATATATAGGCAAATAAAACTAAGTATTTATTAAAGGTAAAAATTATTTGTTAAAATTAAACGTGATATTTGAACATGTTTTCGTGTCATACATTTTTGTTTGAAAATATTCGTTCTAGGCTCCTTGAAATACTTATGCCTCTAAAGTTTGACATATTTTCATCAATTTTTTAAAACCATCTTAGGTGCTCGGCCAAAAAAAAATAAAAAAATACTTTTAAGCACGTGTGCAGTAAAGGATTTCGGTACATTTTTATTTAACACGTGTTTAAAGACTCACTTTCGGTGTTTACAATGGATTAAAAAAATAGCGCTTTATGAGCAACTACATTGAAAAAGATTTTAATACGTTATTTAAGGAATTGTTTTATGTAAACAATCATTTTTGCGTCTAACCACAGACCATTATTAAATTAACTAATAGTGATGACGACTGGGTAAAAAAAAAGAAATTCTTATTAGTCAGTCAGTCAGATAATAGAAAAATGTTAGGTACGTATTAAATTTTACTTCAATTTAACAAGAAGTAGCTTAGATAACAGGCATTAAAGTTGACGAGTGGGGGGTCGTTACATCACAGTTTGGTAGAAAATGTACCAAAGCGTGACGTCACGCGACATTTTAACTCAAAGTATCGCTGTAATTTATTGATTACGAAAAGAATAAAAAAATACGTGATTAATATCTTTCAACAATCCACCTGACGGGCAAATAAACAAAAATTTGTCGTCATGCCTATTGTGTTAAAGTAAGTGAGCGAAAGATACGCCACTAATGTTATAATTTTAATCGATTAACACTTAAATATTTAGTTAGGGATTTGACTACTGAGGCATCATTAATTGACTGAAGAACTTGCTATTAAGTGGGCGTGGAATATTGGTAAAATAGAATAGAATACTAAATAAAATAGTAAAATATCATAAGGGAGACAAGAAATGTTTGGGCAATTGAAAAATATGCGAGCCTAGACTATTTATATTTGTCAACAGTCAGCAGCACGTCAGGCTACACAAACCTGTCAAATTTCTTCACTTGGATTTAAATCTTAATACTTTAAGGTTAGATTAGAAAGTCAAGTGGGAATTTAATTCCATTCCTATTTTTTTCATTCAGCAATTTTGTCATGTATATGATTTTATTGTATAATGTAGTTGTGTGTTGCAATCATGGACTTAGTACTATTATATTAGTATAAAGTATATTTTTTTACAATTTCTTTTTGCTTTTCGAAACCACTTAGCCTAATAATTAAATAAATACAACTAAATAATTAAGTACCAATCAACAATTAAGTAATTAAGTAACAATAAATCTTAATATTTGTGCGGAACCCTCAGAGCTCGAGTCCGACTCTATGTTGGCTAGCACGCGTAGCATGACAAACTCGAGAAACGTTGTCTACACCCAAATGTCACTTTCTCGGGTCAAGAGCGAGATATCGTTTGGGCGCACTCGAGAAAAGTGACATTTGGGTGTAGACAAAACGTTCTCGAGGTGGTCATGTTTTACTGCGATCTTTATAGAGTTTTTTTTTATGAGACAGGGGGCAGACGAGCAGACGGATCACCCGATGGTAAGTGATTACTGTAGCCTATGGACACCTGCAACACCAGAGGGGCTACAAGCGCGCTGCCTGCCTTTGAGGGACGAATATGATCATAGGGAGGGAAGGGTTGAGGGGTAGAGGGAAGGGAATAGGGAGGGGTTGGGCTTCCGGTACCCTCACTCACACGACGAAACACAACGCAAGCGTTGCTTCACGTCGGTTTTCTGTGAGGCCGTGGTAACACTCCGGTCGAGCCGGTCCATTCGTGTCGAAGCGTGGCTCTCCCACGAAAAAGAAAAAGAGTATTGTATACTTAATCAAAAAATATAGACTAACTAAGTAGAAAAAGAAAGTGATACTTAGAGTAACAAAGGCTTTATTTTATCGGACTGCCTAAATAAAGGAGAGTACGTTTTGTGTTTAGGGTTAATATTATACCTATGTGAGTTTTTTCTTTATTGTTACCTATACGGATACCTATGAATGTAGGCATAGGATATCATTATATTCATTATCCCGAGTGACACTGATCATATATAAAAAAATACAATATTGGGGACACTGGTTACTGGTTAAAAAAAAAAATATTTTTATAAATACGACTGCCCAAAATAAACTAAAAAAAGTAACTAGCTTTAATACATCTTGGATAGACACTGTTGTAGCGTCATGAGCAACGGGTTAATTATTAATTATTGTTTACTTAACGTTTAATGGCAATTTTACTTAGTTAGTAGTTTATAAAAGTAGTTAATTATGATCTGTATAAAACACTTGAATGGATTTTGATGAAAGTTGGTGTTTCATCAAAATCCGAGTATCAGTAGAATAA